GTAGTCATCATCATCACTATCATCTTCATTATGGTAGCTAAAATTCATGGAGCTTATAGTTTTTATGTGTTATAAATACAACCTTTATTTTTTATGACTGGAATGCTCATCTGATTAAAAGTATCATCATCATCATTGTCCCCATTTTGGAAATATGAAAGCCCAAATTACAGAAGTTAAGTAACTTGTTGAAAATCAACAACAACTATGTGGCAGAGTCAAGAATTTCATTGATAGCCTAAATTTCATACCCTCATATAGAATGAGCCTGGCTGGTCATCTGTCTGTGTCTTTCATCTGTGTGTGCTGATCATCATTTGTCCACCTGGGAACCTGCCTTCTAGTCAGGCAGCTGGGCTTCACCCCTCTGGGATACATTCCTCACAGCTTCAACAGCCTAAGAGAGATAGTCAGAACTTTGTAGGTTGCAATTACCTTTCAGATCATTTTGGGCTTTTAAAATAAATGGTGACACAAGAATTTGGACATTTTCCTTTATTGTATAATGTAATAAAACTAGAGATGTGGGCTAATCAAGCACTCTGGGGTTGAGTACGTGTGTAAATTAAAGAGACCACTGTAGAATTTTATCTTGAAACATTCAGTCCTGTCTAATATTTTGATAGGCTTAATACCAAAAATTTTAGTGCATAGAGTAGATTAATACAGCCCATCTCTGACATCATTTTTCTAACATGTCTCAATAGCTGAAGCTTTTATTTTAGTTTTACTGGCTTCCTTTCTTCATAGACTCACTTCCATTATTCTTTGGAGATTTGCCTGTTGTAAATTAAACTTGAACTCTGGGTAACTGATAATTGTTGAGGTGACAGTTTCCAGTAACTGAGTTCTGCTGGGAAGAAAATTCTTAGGACTTTTTAAAATAGGTTGACCCTGTGGCTTTGGAAAACTCTTAATTGAAGAAAAGTATTTTAGTATTCAACAAATGAGACAAAACAAGTTATAAAACAGATTAGCAAAAGTCAGAAACATAGTGTAAATTTGTGAAGTAATGGCTTATATGGAATAAACAAGTAGTATATTTTAAATAATCCAAATTTACTGAAAATTAAGGTTATTTTTGAAACAAGTAGTCCAGACTCATATACTTTGAATTATTGGAATTATTATGTTCAGAGAAAAAAATTATTTTTAAACAACTAAGGGTAAACTATATAAATTTACAACTAATAATGACTGGTTTTTTAATTTGCCTAATCTTATCTACCCCAAAATTATTGTTACTTCAGTGAATATACTTTTACACCTAAGGGTGAGTTGAGAGTTACAAGATTTTTGTATTCTCTAGGAATAACAGAGCATGTGGATGCTATAAGTGTAATAAATGTCCTTACATTTTGCCTAAGTTTTTTTACTTAACTCCAGCAAGCAAATGTACTTAAAAAAAAAAAAAGATTAGATATTTACTCTAAGTATAATGAAACTACCCAAATTCCAAAGTGTGAGATGCCTGTAAGTCCAGCTTCAGTGTGCTCTTCCTAAATATCATTATGAACTGACTAATATACAGTACAGAGAAGAGAACTTGTCTTTAGTCTCTGTAAAATGAGAAACTACTCATTTTGTTTATTCAATTTCCTTTCATTTAATATTTCCATTTATATGTATAGTACTATAATAGATACTAAGTTGGAATTCTTTTATCTTGGAATTTTTTTTTATCTCAATTCGATATTTATTCAATGCTGTTTTCCCACATTACCTCTGTTAAAGCCCTGGGCTCTGCGCATTATGAAAAATATATGTGAAAGCCATTTACAGTGGATCATGTATGTCTAATACGTGACCCTGTGATGAAAACTTCACAGAAGTACACCCTTTAAAATAAGAGCCAATTTAAAATCACACTAGCTGAGAAACTTATAACTGAATATGAATATTTCACTTGGAAATTCCCAGTGTGCTTTTGTTATATGATTATAAATGTGCTACTAGACATGAACTAAATAAATTTCCCTCAGCAGAAGTTGAGTCTGCCATGATATAGGCATAGTCTAAAGTAGGTAGTTTATACTTGAAAGTTCAGATAAAATATTCAGCTTGTGTGACTGACTACTGATTTAGTGTTTTGAGATATTTTATATATCTTTTTGTTTTTGTACAGAACAATACAAATGCACTAAAAAAGCTCTGCATTTATACCCCATCTTTGAGAATTAAATTTACCTTAAATTTTAAATTGTGCATATTTCAAGGGTTGACTTTATTTCCCATTTCTCCAAAATTTTGGATAAATAAGAATTACAAATTTAAAGAAGTGGAAAGCCTCTGAAGGTGGGAATAATAGTCATCTCTAGATTTGGGCATCTAAATTTTCAGAGTTCAGTAGTTCATTGACTGCTCCACAGGGTGGCAGTAATATAGTACACATCAGGAGAAATGAAGCCATTTGTAATTCCAAGTGAAAAAAATCAGTGCATGCAGAGTCTTCTAAATTTTGCCAATTCATTATCTACATGCACTATAAAATATGTAATGTACATTTTTATGAAATCAGTGGACTTAAAGTTTTTGACTACATAATTAGCTAACATATATTAACAAAGACAAATTTAGCTAAGATACAGCACCTGGGAATGAAATATTTGTATATTGATTTTCATGGTGGTATAAAGAATATGTGTAAGGCACTATTGTAGATGCCAAGTTTTGAGTGACATACACTTAACTTTTTCTCAACTAAATATACATTTATAGCTGGGTGTTGTAGTGCACCCCTGTAATCCCAGTGACTCAGGAGTCTGATGAAGATGATTTCAAATATAAAGCCAAACTGGACAACTTGGGGACACTCTGTCTTAAAAAAGTCAAATGGGCTGGGCATGTATTCAGTGATACCCACCTAGCATGTAAGAAGCCATGGTTCAATTTCCAGTAATGAAAGTATACATATATTTAATAAAATAATATCAGAACATTCTAAGATAATCTATAGTTTATAAAATTTTTAAGTGTATATGTATGTGTATATATAAACTTGGGGAAAAATAAACAGATATGATAGATTTTGTAAATATTTTAATGGTAAGACAGTTGCAAACATTATAAGAGTACATTTTTATTCTTAAGATTTTTAGTATCTACTGGGAGAAATTTTTTTCAGAAAAAAATGGTTATTAAAATGTCTGCAGCAAGGTAAGTGAAAAATTGAGAAAAGAGGTACAAGTTGAACACATATAATAAGCAAGGCATTCAATCAGTTAATGATCAGCTTACATTTAAATGTTTAGTTAACATCTAAATAACCAAGAACCTATGTGAGAAAAAGAACAAAGAGGGGGGGGGGTACAGTTTAGGATGCTTAAAATTTTGTAATTAAATGTGACAGGATAGACACCCAGCTCTGATCCCAAATTCCTTAATTTTGACAACTTCTGAAGGCTCCATGTAGGCAAACATATGAGGGTTAGGTGAAACTTTTGTAATAAAACAAAGCAATCAGTCTTTTTCTACTGGATATTTTTTAAAAGTTAAATGTTTATTTGGACTATTTGAATGATAACATTAATCAAAATAGTCTCACAGTGGGGGTCTAAGTGTATAGCCTTTCAGTTTTTAGAAGTGCTTACCTTCCAGAGACATAGACATAATTCACTTAGTCATACTCATTTAATTCTTTACACTGAAAAGTATCTTGTGAAAAATATTTCACCACAACACTATTGTGGTTACAGTAGACACAGCTAGTGGTGACAACTAGACACAGCTGTGCTTTGTTTGAACATCTGAAACTTGACTTACCAACCTTACTTATAAAGGACATAACCAAGTGCTCTCTGAAGCATCTGGATTTTTTCCCCCCTGTTCTGAATTCATGTGATGATTGTTTAAGGTATGGCAGTCAAATTGAATTAACAGTTAGGGTGGTCAGCCTGCTTATAAAAACACTTCCCTTTAGGGGTAGGCTCAACTATGTAAGCATTAACATGATTTTCAAATATATAGAGCCCCCTAAAATGACCTAATTGGAGAAATAAAGAAAATGAAAATTTTGCACTTAGAGGGAGAATTCCTAAAGATAGAAGAAGGGCTAGAGAGAACATGTGTGCATGAGAGTGGGAAAGCCAGCATGGGCGAGTGTGAGCCCCCTTCTACCTTTAACCTAAATCCAGTCATTTATCCTTATAATTTTGAGCTAATTAAAACTTAATCACTTCCTACATTACTAGCTAAGGCAGACCTGAATGACTTAAAGAGTGGCTCAGATAAAACCTTAGCAAGAGAAACAGCAATATCCCAGTATGAATGTTTGGGGCAGGGATTATTAAGATGTCATCTGTGTGGCCAAGTCCAATAAAAGAAAAGAAACAGATGTGAAGTCTCTGAGGTTTGTGCTCTGTAATCATGTACAAAAGATTAAGCAATTACAAAATGTCAATTCAAATAGACAATTCACAGAAATTAGGAAAAGCTAGGAGCATATTTGCCTATTTATCTGTGTCAGCCATCTTTTCTAGAAAATAAGTCTTATAGTAGCATCATAATTATATGTGTGCATCTTAAATAGTTCCATGTTGTGAAAGTAGCCAACACTGAGTTGACTTGCCTTAAGCAACTAAAAGTAACATGGCCTTCTGTATACATTTTCCTACCTATGATATATGGAAATATTTTTTTGCCCTGACTCTCTCTATATGTGGGTGATATAAGCAAGTGAGACAGGTTTAACCAGGTCAAATTGAGGTGGACCTGAAAGATGCATTTTCTACTAATGAAAGCTTAATCATGCTCCTGCCTGAGGACTGGGATATGATGCAGGACACCAAAGTGCTAATCTAAATTTGGCAATTGGAGTCTATGTTTATAGAAGGCTATGTGATTTCCCTCTGGTGCCCTCCTGAATTCTTTATTCGCTTACATTTTTCTTGTCATATGAAATTAACTGAAAAACTTTATTGTGTCTTGCTGTAGCTATTTTTATTTGCCATTCAATTAAATTTTTTCAAGCCTAATGGATACTTATTTTTCAATTCATCTAGGTACGAGTGTTCACATTTTCAGTTGGTCAACATAATTATGACAGAGGACCAATTCAGTGGATGGCTTGTGAAAATAAAGGTAATTATCTGTTTTCCTCACTATGTTTTATTAGAAGAAAAAAATGGGGGTGGTAGCTTTTTAAGTTTACATTGTCATATAAAATAATCTATAGTTGTACCTAACTCTTATAGGAATCAAAGCAATACGATTTTTTTTGTGTGTGTGTGTACCAGAGATTTTACCCAGGAATGCTTCACTACTTATTTACATCCTCAGTATTTTATTTTGAGACAGGGTTTTGCTGAGTTGCTGAGGCTGTCCTTAAATCATGCAATTCTTCTGATTCAGCCTCCTTAATCACTATGATTATATAGGAGTGCACAATAGCACCCAGCTCAAGGCAAAAAGATTTTGAACATTTTTTATAGTGAAAACATAATACATTTTTGACATTAGCATTATATTGTAAAAAATTATGAAATCATAATATTGTAAATTCATGAAAGGATGTATTGAATAATAATGATATATAAAAAATATAATTTTTTATGGAAAAGTAGAAATAAAAGAATATCTGAATTTTATAAAACATATGACAGTGTGACACATGTGAGCCTGTTTTTGAGTTGCTAAATTACTGTTTTTTGAAAAATGTCTCATACATTCCTAGATAAATTTTGTGTAGTGAGCCCATATTTCTTTTGGGCCAGAAAAAGAAAATGTTATTTGAAAAATAAACTGTGATACCATAGCAACTAAAAGAACCTGAAGTATTCTGAAAGTTATATTTAGGCAAACATTTTATGTGTGTGTGAATATGTGCATGGATATATATGCATATAATATATATATATAATATATATATATATTATATATATATATATATATATATATAACTATATATCTACATCTTTAATAATATGTATAGTGAAAATATATTTCACTATGCCATTTTTCCTACTTCTTTATAGAAGAATATTTATTTTACACTATCTAAGAAATTCAGTAAAATTTCTCATAAAGCCTGTTCATATGTTGCAAATATTCATTTATCAAACATCTTCTGAATTTGTCAGTTGTATATATATTTCAGTGTTTGCTTAATTTAGCAGTGAAAAACGTATCCTTTTATCCTACAAAGACATAAAACAATTTTGTCTATTATAATGAAATATTTATATGTATAAATACATATATGTATTTCAGGTTATTATTATGAAATTCCTTCAATTGGAGCAATAAGAATTAATACTCAGGTATGTTTATTTGAAACTCACTTATAATATTTTTTCAAAGTTTAAGATATTTTTCCAGTTTAAATGTGCTCAATATAGAAAAAATAGATGAAAATTAAAAAAAAAACACAAAATGTTACATTTTTTACTAAAATGCTGAGTATCATAATGATGGATTTTTATTTCATTAAGGTTCCAAGTGTTTTCAAACATCCAAAACTCAGGTAAAAACATGAATAGAAATATGAATATGTTATTTTTCTCACCATAATGAATATAATCAAATTTACTAACAGTCTCATGTTATTGGAACTTGATTCTGTTGCAGATCACTTAAGTAAATTTCTTAACAATATAAAAGTTAAACAATACTTATTCTTGACAAATTATACAAGGCCATAGTTATTTTCAAATAATCCCTAAAGATCTACTTACTGATTAAAATAGTTACAAGGAGACAAGTTTTCTAACTCATTCAATTGAAAACACGTATATTGAGTAATTTTTTTGTAGGATTAGTAATGAAGTGAATTTAAATGTATATTATTTTCAATTCATAAATTATTGTTTAAAACCATCTCTCAATTTTAAACATAGCTGAGAATCTACAAAGTAGACTAAGTCACAATTTAGGATAAATAACACTGCCTTTGTGGAAATTAATACTGAATACATTGAATGTTGAAATGAAACAGCAGCTGCATTTGAGTCTCATGTCTAGATTTGGCACCATATTTCATTTATTTTTTGATATGTTTAAATGTAGTTTTGAATTCCAGCCAAACAATCTGTGATATGAAAGCAAGTATGTGGCTGTTTTATTATTTCAAATTTGTGCAATTTCACACAGTAAATCATAGTGCCTTAAATAGTTTAGATCAACATGAAACAATTCATAAGGCATGTATTTCACTTATCATAGGCTGTACCTTGAGAAACAATGTTCTGATTATTGTTGCTAGAAAAAATGGGGGTAGATATATTATGTAAATAAGTCAAATATTGTTGATTCAAAGTATGGAGACTTACCACTTATGAAATGCCCAAAATAGGATTAAATAATTCACTCTGTTAATAATTTGATTCTGTATTCATTAACTCTAGATTATTTTTCCCCCTGTGGAAATTTGTTTTTTAAAGCACATAGCTTTTCTAGTTTTGAAGCATAGCTTTTTTCTCTCTTTCTTTTTTCCTTTCCTTCTTTCTCTTTTCTTTTCTTTTATAAATAGGAATATCTGGATGTTCTGGGGAGACCTATGGTTTTAGCAGGAGACAAAGCGAAGCAAGTCCAATGGACAAATGTTTACTTGGATGCACTGGTAAGAGATTGGATGTTAAACTAGACTGCCATTAAAAAATAGGCACACATCTGACTGTTCTTTTTTAGGGGACATTTCTCTTTTCCCGTTTAAGTTAAACTCTTTTTAAAATTCCTTCTATCATAAGCTTTTGTAGCCAGAATTTAGATAATTTGAATAGAATTCTAGATTTGTATGTAATACGGAGCTACAAATGTAAAGTATTATTTTGTTTTGTAGTTAATCCACTGAGAATGAAGAATTTCCATCCTAGAATGTTGAATTTATAGAAATTTTCATAACTTGTTGAATTTTAATGTAAAAAAATGCTCAATACCATATAAATAAAAACCTATTTCTAAAGATTTTAAAGAAATTATTTTTAAAGTAGATGTCAGCTAGTAGAAATATACAACCTCAAATGTAATCAGACTCACCAATATTCAGAAGTACATTCTATTAGGCAAAATTCTTATCATACATTGAAGTCATTACAGGCCTAATTACCTCTTCATATATAATCTTATGCTTTAAATTCAAATCCAGACATTTTTAATGGAAATAGGATACTGGTGGTTGGTTGTGGTGTGAAACAACATGCCAAAGATCCACAGCACAATTGACATATTAGAATAGGTATTCCACCACACTTTAAAGCAGTAGTTCTCAAATGGGGGTAATTTTGCCCTTCACAATTCATTTGGAAATATCTGTATATATATATATATATTTTTTTTTATGGTCAGGGCTGGAGAGTGAGTAGCTGCTACTACTGGTCTTCACAGACAGAGGCCGGAGATGCTGCTAAACATCTTACAATGCACAGAACAGTCCCATTGCGCACACATGCGCAAGAAAAAATTATCCAGCCCTAGATTTTGTAGGATCAAAGTCATGTTTTGATGTTATTTTTATTTTCCTAATATTCAATTTATAAAGATTTATAACACTTAAGATTTATTCATATGCTTAATCTTACTTTGAAGTCTTTATTCATGCTTTGCTGGAACAACATACTGGGGAAAGCCAAAATACTAAGTCCTAAAAAGTAATTGCTGATTCAGTAGTACCCTTTCCCCTACTTGGAGTCCAATTATATGCTGTTACTTCTTTTTTCCATGCAATGTTGAACCCAAAGGGCAAAATACAATCCATTTAGAGTTACTTATCATTTGATTCTTATAAAGTAAACATATACAGGAAGTTAGAAGAAAAATAGGCACTATTAGCAGTGGCCTTGCACGCTAAGAAAGATAAAGTGAGGCTTGCTTACCTCAAGTCCTAGCTAAAATTACCACCCAATGTTCCTTCTTGACATCACTTATTTACTTAAGGTCACATGGTCATCTAAAGCTATGGGCAAGATGTTTCACTTTTTTAAATTCATCCAAGACAGTGTATGATAGGAGGAGCCAATAAGTATGCCCTGTTGCTTTCCTATGACCAGAAGTTCATTAACCAGAATGTCTGCATTGCTGGTAAGGTTCCTACTGATAGCACAAATGACATTAGAAGGAAATGTTAATTCTAAATGTCTGTTTACAAGCTGAAACTAAATGTAAAACAAGAAAAGAAATGGAACGCACGAGTTGGCTATGCAGTGCACACAAATAGAACTTTTTTTTTTTCTGGTTTCAGAATAAGGGACCCATTGTATATTTCTAAGTATTTTTTTATAATCACATTATAATTTATACAGCAGATTCAAATTATGTTAGTCAAATCCACAATTTTATTAAAAAGGAAAAGGTATAATATTTGAAGACAAAGTGTAATATAATGGGAAAAATTCAAAGAGCTCTGGTGTTTCAAAAGAAAAAAAGTTATATGTCTGGGGGTAGAATGGGACATAAAAAATAGTGATGTTTTAGCTAAACATATGAATTCAAGTACAGTTTATTTAACTGATGGTGAGGAGAGGAACCACATAGATATAGCATAAAATTGGGCAGTGTACTGGATATATTGAAGGACTGTTGTCACCTATAGAACTAATAAGATATCAGAACAGAAGGAGGTAACTTGTAGAGGGATTTTATTTGGGAGATAAAATGAGGCTCTTTAAATAAAAAGAGAGAGATGGAAAGAGTTGGGTTTCAGAAAATAAATATTAAAACCAAGGAGATAGAAATCTTATATATTATCTTGGTTTTTATTCTCTAGAAATACTGGCAGTACTGATAAACACAGTATACTTTTTGGTTCACTTGATAAATGAGGGAGAAAATGGAAATTGGGTGCCAATGAATTCATCCATGGTTATCTTAACTCTAATAGTCATCTAGGACCTCATTGGGGGTATACAACATTTTTAGAAGCAAAGTATAAAATTCTATACAAATGCAGAAATGAGGCAAAGATAAAGACTACATCCATATCTATATTTTCTATCATGATACCAATTTTTAAAACTTTTTTAGTCACTTTTTGAGTTTTTTGACCAACATACATGACAAAACAATAACAACAACAACAACAACAAAAACTTGGAGGAGAAAAAGTTTGTGAGGCTCAGTTTCAGAGGTCTCAGTCCATGGAAATCTGACTCCATTATTCTGGGCCCAACATGAGAAAGCATAATGGGGAAATACCCAGTGGAGGAAAGCTGCTCAGCTCACGATGGGGTCAGGAAGCAGAGAGAGCAGAAGGGGCCAAAAGTAAGATGCACCTTTCCAGGATATAACTCCAATGATCCACTTCTCAAAGCCACTCCCCACCTGCCTATAGTTATCATCTAATCCATTCAAACTAGGATGGACTGATTAGGTTACAACTCTCTGAATCCAGTCACTTGACTTCTGAATATTCCTGAATTAACCCAGGCAGTTTAGGGGAGACACCTCACATCCAACCATAACATTCTACCCTGGGTGCCCCAAACTTCATTTCTGTCTAGTAATGCAAAATGCATTTAGTCTATCTCCAAGAGCCCCATTGTTTTAACAGTTTTAGCATTGCCCAAGAGTCTAACTTCAGAATCTCCTCTGAGACTCAAGGCAAACTCTGAGCTGTGAGCCCCTGTAAAATTCAAAAGCAAGTTACATGTATTTAATATATTAGAGTCGTACAGAGCAAATATTCCCATTCCAAAAAAGGATGAAAGAAGGGATGGACCCAAAGCAGACCTGGGCAAACAGGCTCCCAACTATACCTACAGTATCTAGGACACTTGGTGACAACATGGTTATTTTCAAAGGGTTTGGTCAGCTCTTCCCCTTTGGCCTTGATGGTTGCACTTCACATAGGCTCTCTTTTAGCTTGGTTCTCTCCTAAGTCAACAGCATTTTTAGTAGACAGTCCACATTACTGGAATCTCATTTCCTAGGGTCTCCATTCCAGCTTTGGCTTCCCCATAACCCATTGCATTCTCAGGGACAGCCTACAGGAACTCCAACCCAGCTACACCTTGCCGGACTTCAGAGGCCTTCCTTTGAAATCTTGGTCAAAGCCTTCATGACCACTTAACTTTTTGCAAAATACTTAGCATCTTTTTAAGGGTGTTCTCTCTTCAATAAGCATACTTTCCTTATCCCCAGCTTCTCATGCACATTTCTGGCCAAACCACAAGTTTGTGTTTTTTTTTTTTTTTTAACTTCTTTCTGTCTGTTTTCTGCTTTCAATTCTCAATGTAAACCTAGCTAAGAGCTGCCATAATAGCCATGACACTGATTGAATGCTATTTTGCCTTGAAATTTCCTCCACCAGATTTATTAGTCCATCACTTTTAAATTCAATCTCACGTAAAGTCTCAGGATGTGGGAAAAATGTAGCCAAATTCTTTGCCATAATCCATAACATGAATGACCTCTAATCCTGTTCCCAATAGAGTCCTCATCTCCCTCTGAAACCTCACAAGCACAATCACATTTCTGTTGGCACTCTGCCTTCTGATCTCCCACCAGAATTGCCCATTAACATCCACTTTCAGTATTCTAAAGCTTTTCAGCCTGCATTGCTGAACTTTTCAAAATTCTTCCTACCAACCATCTCCAAAATGTTGGGAACCACATGGTCACTCAGTGCCAGTGTCTGTTTTAGTCAGCTTTTGCTTCACTGTAACCAAACTACTCGACAAGAACAATTTATTTATTTATTTATTTTTCACATGGGAATATTTTAGACTTTATTTTCTAATATAGTTTAAGCATCCAGGACAATTGGGGTGAAGTTCAAAATTCCCTGTGTCCCCCCTGCTCCCACAGCCCGTCCACAACCACCCCAGTCTCTGTTGCTTCTGTTAAAATTCATCAACTTCTGCCCAAATCTACAGGTCACACCAGGGCGACAAGAACAATTTAGAGGAGGAAATGTTTATTTGTGGCTCACAGAGATCTGAGTCCATAGATGGCTAACTCCATTACTCTGGGCCAGGGTGAGGCAGCATATCATGGGTAAGGGCCCAGCAGAGTTAAGATGCTCAACTTGTGGTGGGGTCAGGAAGGAGAGAGAGAGAGAGAGAGAGAGAGAGAGAGAGAGAGAGAGAGAGAGAAGGGAGCATACTCAGAATGGGCCAAAGTGAAGATACCCCATTCCAGGGTATCCCATTGACCATCATCTTTGAGCCACTTGCTACCTTCCTACAGTTGTCACCCAGTCTGTTCAAACTAGGATAGAATGATTATGTTACAGCTGTCACAATCCAGTTACTTTACCTCTGAACATTCCTGCATTAAAAGAGGCACTTCATTGGGGACCCCTCATGCAAATCGTAACACTTTTCTTATAGATTGCAACATAAATAGAAAATTATCTAAAGTAATCTTCACAGAATTATCCTCTGGATACCAGCTTTATGAATTTATGATCTGACTTTCTATTGAGATAGAATGTTTTCACTGAGAATGTTAATTTGCATAATTAATTAAGGATCTCTTCATTCAAATGTTGTTGTTTAGGATGAAACAGAGAGCCAATAGGCATATCATCATGTACTGAACTATCTGTAGCTATGCCAGCTTATCTAGTGTCTTGTTCTACTGGAAGTTTTTGGATGATTGCCCTCCTCCCTGAATCAGTTTTCATTGCTTTAGGGCTTCTTGCATGCACAAGTAAAAACTAAAGCCTATTTAAGACATTCTCTCCATAAAACCACACTGTTACTGGAATCAAAGCAGAGTTTATGAGGTTTAAATTTGGGGTTATTTTTAAGGAGATTACTAATATTTTCTCAGTTTATTAGCAAATTCAAAATTTCTTTAAAGAGTGATTTTGGTGAAAATGTAGTTTTAACATGAAATAGTGGTTATGCATACACAGAGAGACACACACATGCCATGGATGTCAGTAATTTAAAAAAAACTTCTATTTTACATAATATCCATGTATTCTTTTAATATATGAGAATATCAATCTGCTGATTAATCAAATGGAATTATTTTGTTTTGCTAAATTGCTTCATGACTAGACTTTCATATTTGCCATTTGCAAGTTTATTTTTCTACATTACTTTCTTAAAAAGTAATATTTATTTTGGGTATTATTTAGAATTAATTCTTCTTTTGTACAGCATAGCATGTATCTAGAGTGTTCCAGAAATGCTATATCAATAGCTTAGTTCTTTTACTACACATTTGTGAAATAGCATGAATAGTTTGGGTTAGGGCATTAAAAGTTAAGAATAAAACCACAAAAATGAAGTAAATCATTTAAAATAATATTTTTATACCATTCTGCTTATGGAGGGCCCTGATGGTAGATAAACTGTCTCTGTGAAAAAGAGCATGGAGGGTGGACAGTTTCTAAAATGTTTAGAGGCTAATGAATCTTTACATAAGTAGAATATTTTTATTTATTTGCAATGCGCACTGGAGTAATATTTCAAATCTTACATGCTTTAATAGCTGCCTAATAAGTCTTTATTATTTCCAAGACATTTTCATTGATATTTTGAAAACACAAAACTTTGATATTTTGAAAACACAAAATGAGTTACAAGTTATCCATGGATCTTTATCAAGTAACTATAAAATGAAGTCTTGTATATCAAGGTCTAAGGCAGTAGGACAAAGTTCAAATTTTCATTTTCATTTGCCTTTTCTCTCAATCTGTTTTTAGGAACTGGGACTTGTCATTACTGGAACTCTTCCGGTCTTCAACATAACTGGCCAATTTGAAAATAAGACAAACTTAAAGGTTAAAAGTTAATTGATAAAATTAATAATAATAAATGATAAACTGTGATGTTGAAGCTTAATGTGGATAAGATACTCCTGTAAGGAAATGCATACAGTATAACTGTCTTGTGAGGCCAGAGGTCAGTGGCAGCAGCTGCCTGTGTGATAACCACCTGGGAAAAGGAAGCTCAGGTCAAACTCTCTGTCGCCCCAGAGTCGAGGTTGAGCTTTGGTCTATTTAATTATGACCTGATGAGAACACAGAGTCAGACTCTGGGAATAATTACATGATAAATGGTCAATACTGTGTGCTCATTTTTAAAATGCATTTGATGTATTTATGAAGTTTGTGGGGTGGGGGGGAAGAAAGACCAAAAACTATAATGATGTTTTATCAGGTGTATATAAATGCATTTATTGAATCCTTACTCTTCCAATTCCCAAACAATAGATTTTTTAGTCATAATTCAAGTATCTGATTTATAGTTCTTTTTTCCTGTTTTTTTTAAGATACAGGGAAAATACTTAATGAGTTTCTAAAAAATGTTAGATTTTTGTAACACTGGTAATATTGTCATGCAATGAAATGCTATTTGAAAGTTCTGAATAATTATTTTAAAAATCATGTACTTGTTTTGTTAATTTTGGTTTAAAAGTAGTGATAAATTTTTATTTCTCAATTTGATTCAGAATGAATTTAAGAAGGCAGGAGTTAAGAATTTTTAATAGCAAATGTTTATTTTATAATGTGATACCATTTATTTGAAGGGATATTTATTTCTAGTGCATGGTTTAATGAAGTCTGCTACACTTAAGCATTATTTGTACAATTATTGTAAACCTCAGTTGAGCTGCTTATCCTAATAATATAGCCATATCCAATATCAGTTATTTCTCTTTAGGGGCCCATTACCATTCTTAAATATCTGTGAATTCTAAAAATTGCAATCCATAATGGAGCAATTGTCATATTCCTCATTTGCATTTAAGATCTCAGTATAGTCTGTCTCTGAGATGGCTTTAATTTGAGAGTTTAGTGCAGAGTAGGATTATTTCATGGCAAAAGAGCATAGATGTTGACATGACTTTAATTTTATAAGCACCCACACAGAGTTTAAAGTGTTTTTTGTAATTTCTGACTAGATTTTAAATTTTGTTTGTAAACACATTTTGATTTATTACTTTATAATTTATATAATTCTATTTCAAACAAAGTTTTATGACTCAAAATTTTAATACAATTTTCATTTTTATTTCCCTTAGATGAGTATGATAGTTATTTTCAACATAGCTTCTTGACTTGAAATTAAAACCATGATGCCCATTATATAGAGAAGTTATTAGCAGCAATTAGGAACACTGTCTTGAAGATTTGATTATTAATAAGGTCACATATTTTGAAGATAGTTACAAAAAATGGGCACTATCATTTGTAAGAATATGGTGTTTCTTTATTCCATACTGGTCCAATTTTTAAATTGAACGTTTTTGTGGTTTCTTAATTGTAATATACCACAAAGTCAATGCACAAACATGCACACATATAGCTACAATAGCCAACAATGCAATAAATAAGTATTACATAAATAAATATTAGGAGAGAAAGGTACAAAAAGTATCAAATGAAAGTTTTCAAGTATCTTAGTCATCAAGATTTCATTTGAGTAACAGTGATAATAAAACTATGGAAAAGATCAAAGCTGAGAATCTTTGTAAATTGACACCAAATTACAATCTGTGCACACTCACACACACGCACACACATTTGTTTACACTAGTATGGAATACAACCATTACTACAGCAAAAGGATGCATATATATAATTATTGTATAGAAATATATAATTTGGGGTACAAAATAAACTACTTTTTGCCATCTTGTTACAGAACCAACTGATTCTTGGTGTGATGGGCGTTGATGTGTCTTTGGAAGATATTAAAAGGCTAACACCACGTTTCACAGTAAGATACAATTTACTTTTTTGGTAACCTTTCCTGTTCTTAGAACTGTGTATTAATTTAGCTTGTCTATAAAGTACTTAAGTAATTCTGAAAAAATGATGTGCAATTATCTTAGCAAAGGAGCTAAATATCATCCTTAAAATAAAAAGTAGAAATAGAATGTCATCCTTTAGCATGCTCTTAAATGTGATAACCAATTAATTTAACGTTTTTTTAAATTATGTGGATTTCTAATTGTGAGCATACATCTCTAAACTTTTTGATTATTTTTCAGCTCTGCCCCAATGGCTATTATTTTGCAATTGATCCTAATGGTTATGTTTTGTTACATCCAAATCTTCAGCCAAAGGTATGTATATAATTTGTTTACAATGCATAGTATTCATAAAATTAATGACTCATGATCTTAATAGGATTCTCATTTTAAAATTCACTTTATAGCATTAAATACAAAAGAATAGTCTGTAATCTGGCTCCCTTATTAGATGACAAAACCACAGATTATGACATGTGAAGAGGTAAAAGCATTTTCCCTTACCAATTTAGGTTAACTAATATTCTTATGTGAAAGACAGCCATTATCATCTCCTGAGCCTACTTTCACACATCACATGTGTGGCTTTGAATAAGGCTGTGAGGGTGTGCTGCTGCAGACATTCCTGTAACCCTCCTAAGCATTAGCAATGTTCCTTTCTGCCCAGGCTGCGTTACCCATTGCCCTTTTCTTCTGATAATTACTCTGCTTTCCATCTCCCAGACTATTGTTTCATGTTGGGGCAGGCTTGTAAATACCTAAGAAAAAAAATTAAATAAGTAAAATGTATATGATGGGTTTCAGAAATGGGAAGTGTAGTTTTTACTAAGTGAGTTGTTCCGTAAGCCATAAAATCCATAGACAAACTATTTTATCCTAATATTTATATCTACTTTCCCAAGATACAAAACATTTTTAGAAAATACTTCATTCAACTCATTTCATTTTTCATTAATGCTTAAAAAGGTGTTATGGCAAAATTTATTTACCTACATTTAGAATTAGACAAAATCTTATATAATGGAAATTTTGTAAACATTTTTAAGTGACTGGTGAAATTTGAGGATAATGCTGAAAATGCTATAAACCATGGAGACTGTTACCTCCTTCTTTCTGTCATGGATGTTGAATGAGTCCCAGATTAGTAAACACAGGTGTGCCCACACATACACACATGAAGTTGTGTCACTGAAATATTCAAAACAGCAATAAGGACAATTGATATTGAGTTACATATTAAATGTGATGATTTATTTTAGCATCTTAATATATATCTTAATGTTTCTATATTATTTCTTCTCACTTTGGAATTTATTGCCATATAAGATCCATCATGATATAAATATTTGCTAAGCATACATGGCCATTGAGCATCCTATATCATGTTTAAACATATTCTTTTTATAAAAGTTTACAATAGTACTTGTCTGTGTTATTAAATTATTACAGTTCTTAAAAGTATGTCATTTAAATTCTTCAATATCATTGCTTATGATTAGGTAATCATGCTATGGTTTCTGTCATAGTTGAAAATATCTAACTTTCTAAATCTCAAAAAAAAGTTTAAACTTTTCAAATATTATTTGAACTTTGTGTACCCAGTATATTTCAGATTATATCTTCTTAATTAAAGTAATCTAAAAGCAATATAAATATAATGTGCTAAGGAGTAAAAAGAGTCCCAATTTTTCTGATTATAGACCTTAACCTTTCCCCAAAGGAACTATATATGATAGAGATATACAAATAACAATTTAAGTTCTAGTTTTCGTTATGAAAAGGAGGTAGTAATTTGAAAAAGGTTTTAACATCTTCTGCAATCTCCTAATGACTAATATTTATATAGAAGATATTTTATCACTATTTGATGATGTTAATATGTATTCAACTCATATTTGGAATAATCAATACACTAAAATTCATAAAATTACAAAAAATATACATTTCATAAGATTTGCATTAAAAACTAGTTGACTTTTTTCTTCCAGCTCATAAATTAGCACTCATGTTTTGGTATTGGATTTTATTAAAAGTAAGCATGCAACAGTAAGATATTTTAAAAAATACTCTTTTAGGAAATTATTTTTAAAAAGAAATAATTCTGAAAGGTCAACATACTGTCTTTCCTGAAACTTGTGAATTAAATATGCTTGTGCACTCTCATAATTAGCAGGATAAATATTATGATTTTTACTTTGTAAGTAACAATGTATGTTGTACAGATTAATATAAGAACCTCACAAAAGAAACTATATAGTATGAATGTTTCAGAAATTGTCAAATACAAAAAACAATATGGTAACAGATGTTATACCAACAAACTTAATCTTAATTCTTTCATCAGAAATTCATCAATACAAATTAAAGAAAATGTAGCTATATCCATAGTACCAATTATTAATTAACAAGATGAAAACCTAATGTTAACCAAACATACCTGGTTTGGTGTCTTTTTTGTTTTCTTTCTGATATTATAATCTTATTTCAAACTATTTTAGTATAATGTTATAGTTCATAGAAGTTAGGATAGTGTCCTCTTAAAAGCTCCAAATATCAGTAAATAAAGTAGCTATGAAGTTTTTTTAAATTCTTTTTTTAAATTGATTTTATTATTTTTTAAAATACACGACAACAGTGGAATGTATTACTATCCTTATTACACATATAGAGCACAATTTTTCATATCTCTGTATATAAAGTATGTTCACATCAATTTGTGACATTATACATGTACTTTTTTGCATTACAATTCTTAATACACATATATACCACAATCTTTCATATCTCTGTTTGTATATAAAGTGTGTTGGCACCCAATTCAAGTCTTCATACATGTACTTTAAAACACACTGTTTTTTCTCAATGTGTACTGTAACCTTATGACCACAATTTTTAAAAATATAAATATGTCTCCTGATTTATCCTTATTTTATTTTATTTTACATATTTTATTTCTACCATTTTGTTTCATTAAAATAAACAGATATGGTCTAATATCTAATATTTGATATATCTAATATTTGATATATTTTCAAAATATCTAATTTTGATAAATTCTGATAGATATTTATTATATTGAAAATGGAGTATAATATATGATTTGGAAGTCCATATCTAAAATGAGTATACAGTGTTATGGTTGAATTCTTCATCAGTTCAATAGGAATAACATTGGCTAAACTTTCAGAAAACAAAGACACAAATTTCAAATGTTTAAGATGTTTCAGTATTTTGTAGTATTGCTTTATTCAGGCTACTATGGTTAAAAAAAAAAAGGAGACTGGTGGCTTATAAACATCAGAAACATACTTTTCACAGTCCTTAAGGCTAGGATGTGGAAGGCTGAGGCAAGGGTAAGTAGGTGCCTTTTTCTCACATACAGCCACCTTGCTCAGACCTCACATGGCAGAAATGGAAAGGATTTCTGTCAGGTTTGCCATAGGTTGCTAATCCCATGGAGGGATGGGCACCTCCTCAGCCTAATTGCTTCCTACATTGCTCCTCTCCTTCATACTATCAATTTTGAGGTTAAAAATTGCAACATATGAATTGGGGGAGAAAGTTAGCAGTATTTGCAGTTTGCAAAGTTGGGTCATATAAATTCTAACAATTCCTATTTCTCAATCTATTTATTTTTAAATCAGAAAAATTCAAAACTGTCTGGTACAAATTATTTTACACTTCCCAAGTGTGTACTTTTCTAGGAAAAACAGGAGAACATTAACAGTTAGTTTGCTTAAACAATGATTTTTATGAGGATAACAGTTGTTTTTTAATTACAATAGAATGCATTTTGACATACAGTACACAAATGGAGCACAACTTCTCATTCCTCTAGCTGTCCATGGTTTAGAGTTACTCCAGTAGTGTAATCATATATGTATATAGGGTAATAATGCCTGTCTCTTTTTACCATTCTTCCCATCCCCACAATCCCAACCCTCACTTCACTCCCGTCTACACAAACCAACCAAAGTGAAGATAACAGTTTTTATTCATTAAAAATATTTTTAAACTTTCATTTTTTTTAAATCAGCTCATCATGAATTCTATGCTGTTTATCAAATATTTTGAATTCTAAGTATCAACCGCTTTTTGACTAAGGAAATATGTGATCACAATTGATTATAGTATTACCTATGTTAACATGTACTGTGATGAATTATCATTTCTTTATTGCTTCAGCCTATTGGTGTAGGCATACCAACAGTTAATTTAAGAAAAAGGAGACCCAATGTTCAGGTAAATGAATGAAGGTAGACTTAGCTGTGCTTTCAAATTTGCTAAATCAGAGTTGAGATCAAGCTTGGTCTTATAGCTTTTGATTAAAACTGCATTTCCTGACATTAGCTTACAGAGCATGAGATGGAAATGAGCATCATTTCTCAATAAACTGCAGCAAAAATTTTATTAATTATGGGAGAGGATATGCATTGGTGAACTAAAGATTGCTAAGTAATTATGTAATAATATTAACAATTAAGGGTATTCATAATGAGATGGCTTCTAAAAAGGAAATGTTATTAAATATTGTTAAATTAGTGTCAAATCTTTGTGATCCTAACAATTTGCTTGTAAAATTGACTTCTAATTGCAAATAGAAATCCTTATGTGATAGTTTCCATAAACCAGATATTTTAAGCCAAAATTTCTTTGAATTTCTAAAAGTGTAATTTGGGATTAGAAGTTAATTTCCCTTCAGCTAATTGAAAATGTTCAATATTGCAAATAAAAAGTGTGAATATGTACCACCTGGCAAATTTATTACAAAATCTTTGCCATCAACAAGACTTAAAAGTTATTATATATATGTTGGGAATGATGGCTCATACCTGTAATTCCAAAGGCTTGGGAGGCTGAGGCAGGATGACTGCAGATTCAAAGCCAGCCTCAGCAATAGCCAGGAGCTTTGCAACTCAGTGAGACACTGTCTCTAAGATACAAAATTGGGCTGGGGATGTGGCTCAGTGACCAACTGCCCCTGAATTCAATCTCTGGTACGCCCCGAAAAAAACAAAAAAGTTTGTTTGCTTATTTATTTATTTATTTAAGTTTCTGGGCACATTAAAAATAATCAGCATAAAAGGATACTTTCTACAACTTTGAGAATTTCAGAATTTCAAAGAAAGTTCAACATTTAATACTTTCTTTATTACCTTACCATTTTCTTAAAAAAAGTGTTGGTCACATTACAATGGAGAGGTGGTGTGATTTCAGAAGAGGTTGCTAAACTGTGAATTAGAACTAAGTTTGAGTTTAGTTCTTCTGGAGGCCAATAGTGGAGTACTTCATTTTGTTTACCTGAAAAGCAGTCTCTGCCCTGCCCAGACTGTTCATCTGGGAAATGAAGCGTATCTGTTATTACTGGGCCCCTTCTCTTCAAATTTCTGATTTACTTTGGCCTCCAAATTATTTTTAAAGCTTCCGAGGTTGTTCTAAAATGCAGAGAACTGAACTAGTAAAAGCTTCATTTCTCTTCCAGCTCTAGAGCTCCAAGAAAATCTGAATTTCATGTTGTTGCATATAAGTCCCTGAATCTTTTACAATTTTTATAAAGATTATTATTATGTGTAGGTCATTCTTGATATTGATATTTTGTTACTCTCCTTGCATGTTTTCTTTTTATGTATCATCTTAAATTATACTTTTTGCAATCCTGCATTTTAGTGAATTTTAATTTTTGTAGCAAAATCAAACATTGCATGTAAATATTATGATTAAAAAATAAACATCCTGAATAATAGTTTATGTTATTTTTGTTTTCATTCTAAGAAAACTCCAAATGGCAATCTAGCAACCATATAAGACTTTTCAATTTGAGGGATATTTTTGAACGATGAAGTATTGTAATCATAGTGACAAATAATTATTTCAAATTCAAAATTTGCTAATATTGCATCCTGCCTTTTATTTTCACAAAACGAATGATTGTTATGATAGTTGATATTTAAATTTTGCAAATAGAATTGTCACATATTTAAAATGAGCAAAAATAATGGGCATTCAGAGACCATAGGATCAAACAAATTTCTATTCTTAATCTTGTCTTGGTTTTTTCTTATTAGAATTCTGAAAATTTTTCAGTCCCTATACCTATGATGAGTCTTTTTAAAAAGTGGCCTGTCAGATTGCCATTTAAAAATACAAGTGGTGCATTGATATGTTTCTGTTATGATTTCATTTTCTTCTCTGTGTCTTTATATGTTGGATTGGGACATGATCTTCATATTGCCAAATCTTCCTGATAATGCCTCCTCCCTGCATGCTGTTTGGGTCTGGTCATGCTATGCATTATCCATTGCATGTAAGATAAATATTCTTTTTTTTCTGTTTTCATTTTATCATTTTGATTATTTTTCACTTTGTTTGCATTGAGTTTGTTAAAATTTTAATTCTGTTTTGAGGGTGTTTACATGAGGATGGTTTATTTCATGGAAGTTTACATAGGCACTTCTGAAATATTAGATTGAGTGTCCTTTCATTAGGGACTTTCTAGGTTTCTTTTTCTTTCACTTTATTTATGTATTTATTTGTTTGTTTGTTTTGATACTGAGTAATCAGAATGGAATCCACTGGGCACTTTATTCCCAACCGTTATTTATTTATTTGTTTATTTATTTATTTTTAATTTGGAGACAGGGTCTCACTAAGTTGCTTAAGGCCTCCTTAAGTTGCCAGACTGGCCTCAAACCTGCAGTCCTTCTGTCTCAGCCTTCTGAGTCACTGGGGTTACAGGTGTGCACCACTTTTCTCAGCTCATTTTCTTAACCACAGATTTGAAGACTTTTCAGTATTACCCTTTTATTTTCTTCTTATGATATATGTTTTTATTTTCTTCTTATGGAATATTTATTTGCTTCTAAATCAAAACTATGCCCTCCAAATGATGTTATTGGGGGCGCAGGTTGAGGTAACAGGGATTGAACTCAGGGGCACTTGACCACTGAGCCATATCCCCAGTCCTATTTTGTATTTTATTTAGAGACAGGGTCTCATTGAGTCTTTAGCACCTTGCTTTTGCTGAGGCTGGCTTTGAACTCGGGATCCTCCTGTCTCAGCCTCCCTGGCCACCTGGCCAAATGATGGTATGTTTCTCTTTCAAAAAATTAAATATTTGGCCTGGCACAGTGGTGAAAAACTGTAATCCCAGGTGCTCAGTATGCTGAGGCAGAAGGATTGCAAGTTCAAAGCAGCCTCAGCAACTTTGTGAAGCCCTAAATAAGGGAGATCCTGTCTCCAAATTAAAAAAAAAAAAAAGACCTAGGGATGCTGATCAGTGGTTAAGTGACCCTTGGTTAAATCCCCAGTACCAAAAACAAACAAACAACAAATCAAATACTTAGACTTTTAGTAATATAGAACCTTCTTATTATAGTCAAAGAGTTCTTAAGCAGTGAATATAGTTCAGTTTTAAAAATACAGGTGAGGGCTGGGTTCGTGGCTCAGTGATAGAGTGCTTATCTCACATGTGTGAGGCACTGTGTTAAATTCTTAGCACCATATATAAATAAATGAATAAAATAAAAGTCCATCAACAACTGAAAATATATTTTAAAAAATACGGGTGAGATTATCTTTGTTTAATTTGCCTTTAAGTATTCTCATTCATCAAAAACTAAGGGAATAAAAAAATATACTTTTTAAAATGGAGTTATTCCTTGAAGGCAGTTTTTTCATAATTATAAAATACTGTGTATTCTGTTATCCATACCCCAAAAAGATATGCTCAATTTTAATAAATTTTTAACTGTTCCTTTTGTGTTTGGAAGTCTATTCTCCTAAAGTTGTGTTTCAAATAGTGATGATGAAAAGGGAGGTTGATAATTACCAAGAATCTGGTGATTGGGCATTAATCTAGAACAGTGTACATTTAATACCACTACCTAATTAAGTCTGAGACTGGGGTAATGTTTATTTTAATAAACATTTAAAATCTAGTTTCTAAAATTTTGCATTTATAAAATCATACACATTATGATTTATTGTTCTAGTGAACTTTGACATTCTATGACATGTTACTTAGCAGGTGTTTTAAAGGAATGCATTGATTTACTTCAGTAAGTCTTCAGTATGTGATTGTGAAATTAAAATAATAGTATCATATACTTATATATAAATAAATTATCTTATTCCATGGTGAACTTTATTTGTTATTATGCATCAGCAAGAAAAGCCAGGAAATAGTATTTAGTTAAACTTTAATTAAAATAGCTAATCTTAATAAAAGTCTTTGTGACTTGACCACAAGTTTTCTTATAAAATCTTAATAGTTTGAATTAATAAAATATAAAATTTCTGAGATTTAAGTATATAAAACTAACTTATTTCTTTTCCTTATACATATTGAGAAGAAAGTATAGGTCTTATAGAATTTGTTTTACTTAGAAAATTCAAACTAGTTTTAAAAACATTTTTTCCATACACAGTCTATTTTTTTATCTGAACTACAGCTTGGGATGCTTACTTATGGCCTTTGTTTTATTGTCACATTGCTATATTTTGCACTTTGTCATTCTAATTAAAGGAAAGAAAGTTGTGAATGGATCTTCAAAAGTCATATTCCCATAGGCTTATGATTATAAATGCAGTGTATAATACAACATTCAGGGTGAGACTGTTTTTCATTTGATGATTAATTACAATTAATCTACTGCATTTAAAGCTCAATCTCTTAGCTCTGTCTACTTTCATGTACATATGTTCATGAAATAGTTTCATGTGCATATGAAAGAAGATACCTCTATCAATTACTAATGTATCTTAGGTAAGTAACTTTTAGAGAATTAATTTCATCTTTAAATATCCATTAAATTAACTGTTTTACACAGCATCATTTTATAATATCATATGTAATTAGTTGTTATTGTTTTCTGTGTAGAACCCCAAATCTCAGGAGCCAGTCACATTGGATTTCCTTGATGCAGAGTTAGAGAATGATATTAAAGTAGAGGTGAGTGTGACCAACAGGACAAAGGCAGACCTCAGGTCACTGCTTCACTTCTTCCATGCCTCAAGTATCTGTCCAGCAACTGTGTTGTGTTAGGCTGTCTCTTAGGTACTACACACACAAAGATTAAATTTTCTAGGTTCTATCTTCTCATCCAAATGGTGTTATGAGAAGACATAAATATTTCAAGTTGGGTATGACCTAAATGTTTTACTCCTTTCAAAGATAGAGGTATTTTAACTATTCCAATACAAAAAGGACAGAGATTCAATAAAAGTCATACAAATGGACATTACCACACAATTGAAAGAGGAGTTGGGAGGCATCCAGCCACCTGACCACATGAGGAAAACATGAGCAGAGCAGCTGCCATGTTTGTCTTTGCGCACTTTATTCCGCAAATTTCTATTTTATTTCAAAACCAAAATCACATGTCACTTCCTCTGAGAGGGTCTTTCATGATAATAATGGGTTAATAGTTAAAAATAACACTAAGTACATGATATCAGTCATGGATTTTCAAGAGCCTTTGAGAAAGGTATGGAACATTTTATTATATCTATTACACTGATGATAACTTTGCAGTAAACAGAAGTTAAATAGTAACTAAAAAAGTTACTCAGTAAGTTGCAGGAGTAGGCTCTTGTACTCCAGAACACAAGTTTAGGGTATTTTTTCCAGAAAGATTAACTTCTTCTTTCATCTTTTCAAAAGTTACATATTTCTTTTAAAACTTGTCACGGCATATTTTAATTTGAACTCAATTGACTCATTTTACAGATTTACTCCCTCATTGCACAACCATAAGATTTAACTATGATTATCCTAGGCTGTGGCATAGAGCTAGGATGTTTTCCCTGGCTAATGAATATTTGTTGTCAAGTGTTATATACAATAAAGTAGGATAAGGCAGTGGTGGCAAAATGGATGTCTGAACTCCTCCCTGCTCAGTCACCACAATGATCATCACAACATTTAGTCTCTCTAAGTCTTGTTTCCCCTCAGTTAACATAGTGATTGCATGAAATAATATCTAGAAAGAGCTTGGAAAAATATCTGCTTTGTGGTCAAGTGTTCATTATTTTGGAGCCTTGATGGACATTCAAGTTACCTAAGGAGCTGCTCTCTGCTCTTTCCTTTTGTGTTTTTCAGACCTCAAGTATTTTAATTAAATTAGACTAATCATATCCTCTTCACATTTAATTTTTTTTCTCACACCAAGTTTGTTCACTTATTATCTGTAGTGACCAAATGCCAAATGCAAATGTCCAATTGTGTTACAGAAAATGAAAAATAAGCTAAAGAAAATTTTGATAATTTCCAGTAGATGAATATTTTGTAAATTAATGTGACCTAATTAATTTTTTAAAATTTGGGAAATTGCCTATAAGGAAGCTAAACTGTGTCTTATTAAATCCCAGTAGGTTTTTATAAGTCTCTCTATCCCTTACTTATATTGTATTTGTATTTCGGAGATGACAAATGGAAACTGAATAAGGATAAAAAGTATTGGGAAATAAAATTTACAGATTTATATTATTATATTTTGTACCTGTTCAAATATATAACAATTAATGTCATTGCCTGCATAATTATAATGCACTAATAAAAATAAGAAAATTCTTTCTCATATAAATCTGATTAGGTGAAGTTGAAATTTGAAATATTCCATAGTACATGCTAATTCTGTAAATGCATATGCATTTCTCTTTCTCAATGAGAACTTTTCATGTAAATGTAGCCAGCCTATAAGACAGTTGACTACTTTTTTTTTTACTAATTATGTTTCAAAAATTAATGATTGGTTGAAAAAATTTATTTCAGGTGCTTTTGTTATTTTAAAATGATATAAAATGATCAGAGTTTGACAACTTTAAAAAATAATTCCCAGAGAACAACTGCAACTAATAGTCAAACCAGTCTACCATTTATATTCATTCTGTTCAAAATAAGGAAAAACATTCAAAAATGAATATAATCATACTTCAATAGGTCTGCTTGGTTCCTGGAATAAAGTAGTTGTTTCATTTTCCCTTAGATTCGAAATAAAATGATAGATGGAGAAAGTGGAGAAAAAACCTTCAGAACTCTGGTTAAATCTCAAGATGAGGTAAGAATTCATTCTTTTGTATTCTTAAAGTATGTGTTAATAATAATCAATCTTGAGAATTTGTCTTTCCTTTCTGCTAATCTGGTATTTACTTATATAACAAGGAAGTTTCTAATGAATAATTTTCTTTTAAGACACTTTTTAACTAGGGGAATATTTTACTAAGATATTTTCAACTCTTTTCAAAATATTTTTTGAAATAATATCACTGTAAGTTTTTTGCTATATATATATATTTTTTTAAATCATTGAAAGCTATATTTGATGCCTGTATATTTAATCATTATAAGAAATAAAACACACAACTTAATGTTGTGCTGTTTTTAGCAACAATGAAAATTGAAGTTAATATTGAAGAGCTGTATGTTTTATGATTTGTGCATACAGACATTCTAATTGTTGTGTTCTGTATGTTGTTTTGTGTTTTTGTTTTTCATTTACTTGTTTGTAGTTGGACTTATCTCTGTTTTTACTATTTATAGATTTTCTGCATTTAAATCTGAAATTAAAATATGAGCTAGCATTTATCACTGACTTATTTACTAAACTTATATTTCTTTATGTTTTTATGTAAGATCTCTTGTGGATAAGGAATAGCTAACCATTAATCAGTCATGTGGAATGAAAAAGGACATTCATATATTTGAGTATCTCAAAAATATATAGGACTCAGAGGCTTTTGTGCCTGGAACTTTAACTTTAGCTTTTATATATAAATTATATCCGTCCCTCTGAAATCTCATACTTTTTTCCCAGATTCTCTCCAATTCCTCAGCAGATGTTTCCAAAGATGGACCTAGGTTCTAAATGTGGTCCTTCATTAGCACATGGCTTTTCTCATTTTAAAATCATTATGAGTCCCTCTTACCAGAGCCTGAGGAGGTATATATAAACTTCAGTCTTTATTGAGCTATCTACTCAGTATTGACTTAGACTTTAGCCATGCTCTTTTCCCTTTCACTCCCTGCATGAAGGATGTAAACTACTCAACAGTACCCCTCACCTCTCTGTGTTGTTCCAAGAACTGTGACCTGCACATTCTTTCCTCAGCTTACCAAGTTATCTTCATTCTATTTACTTACATTGATATTTTTCCTCCTTCATATTATTGCATATTCCTTTCTTTGACTAATTTCCACTTATAAATCTTTAAAATTTTAGATTTTTTTTCCTTGAATGTGTGATTAAAAGTAGATATAGCTGCTAAACTTCAATTACAATATAAACGCCCTCCAGGTTTTTGTATATTCAATTAAAGAAAATTTGTTTACCCTGTGAATGAGTATATCAGTTGAGAAGTGACTGTGAATTTCATTCTCTTTTGTTGTAGGAAATCATGTAATTTTTCTTGACACCATTTTCCATTTTTGTGAGATTGAAAACACAGCACATCTCAAAATGTCTGGCATTATGAGTCACAAATAATTTAAAATTCCTTACATGTGAAATGTTTCCCACAGAGCCTTTCTTCTCATCTGATTTATTGAATAGTTTTTACCCACACTTGTCTCAAATTAATTTGTAAACATTTTCAAATTAATCCTGTCCACCCATCCTTCCATCCACCATACATACACCTACACACACGTGCACACACACCCACACAGAGCAGTAGGAGGGTTTGATGTATAAAAGCAAAATTAAATAGTCATTATAAAAGTGGATTTGGCCTCAGACATTTTTCTTAACCCTGAAAATGTAAGTGCATTATCTCCTTCTTAAGGCTTATTTCTTGATCAATAAATTATGAGAAATAAGATCTACTCCTGGGGTTTGAGTAAGTGAGATAAATGACAGTAAGATATTTAGCATGGTGCATAATGCTGAATAACCCTTCCACAAAATTTTTAATATGGTGAGGATAATAAAGCTGGAGATAATTGACAAAATTAAAAGTCGAATATGTGCCATCACTGTACCTAAAGGAAGAAAGATCGAGAATGTCTTTATACCATTACTCAATAGCTGCATATGAAAGATTTTATATCTGTGAAGTTATTTAACTCGGCATTTCCTTTCTCTAGTAGATTAGGTGTCTTCCTAACCTTCAGTAACATCAAGTAATTAGCCTCTTAACAAACCATAGTAATACCATAATTAAAGCTTAATAAGAACAGTAATAATATACTAATTTGGATCTAGACACACTGATGACATTCATTTCCTGATATTCCTATTCACTCTTAACTATATCTGAGTCGTGGTCTTTTTCATTATTAAACTTCAGTTTTCAGAAAATATTTTCAGGTTTTCTTTTTCTTTGGCATAAACTGTTAAGATCTAATACTTTTTAACTCCTTAAATTGTATCATCTGGATACTTATTTCTGTTCTAAAATTTTTATTTTCTCTCAAACATACACCCATAATGGAAAAAAATAAATTGAGGATAGATTCTATCATACATTTATGAAGAAGGCTGTGAATGACTGCAGAATTTATAAGTAAATATTATTACTCCATTCTTCATATTAATTCATGAAGATATGAGTTGATAATAATGAAGTCAAACTTTTTTCTAGAGATATATTGATAAAGGAAACAGGACATACACATGGACACCTGTCAATGGCACAGATTACAGGTAATTAGTTACATTTATATGTGTATTATGGAAAAAGAATGTTCAATGCCTTTTTCTAGTTTTTAGTTGCCACAATTTCAATGGATGAATATTGTCTTTGCATTTTCATAAGCTATTTTTAATGTGATTTCCAATAGAAAGTTATTCTCTCTCCAACGTAAAAATGTATTAAAGTTATAGCACCTGATTTTTCAAGATAGAAAAGATGGGGAAAGCTAGCAATATTAAAATCTGTCAATAAAAACATATGTTTTAAATCTGTATTTTTTTGTCTAATTATATTACTGATAAATGTTGACAAAAATCCCCATAATATTTTATAGCTGTCACTTCCACTGACTTCCTCTTTTAAGTTGGGATTTTGCTTATTTTACTTGCATTTAAGTTGCAAATTAACCTAAAAGTACAGCTTATTTTCTCCTCATAGTATCTGTTATAAAAGACTTAGTTGATGTAATTTGCTCCCACTGAATAGCAGTTCATTAATATCAGGATCTATCCCATTAGCTGAGCTTGGAGAATTAGACAGCCTAATCCCTGATCATCTCTTGGAAGATTCCTCCCTTTCTCCAAATCTGCTGAGCATTTCCTTCACTTTCTCACTTTAATTCCCCTCTCAGCTCACTGCTTTCCCTCTGGCCCGGCTCCCTGCATCCTCATAATACTGAGGTTTATATGAGTACATCATTCTTGTTACTCCTTCTCTCTTTTTTTCCTCATTAAAAGGAACTCTCATCTTTGAATCTCATGTCACCAGACTACACTATCCACCTTTCTCTGTTTAGCAGTTGTCTCCCTCTTATTCCTATAAGATTGCCTCATTATCAGTCTCTCCTACATTCATATAGATCAGTATTTTTCAAATTATTATAACATATGGACACTGGCATAAAGTAAAACAAAAATTTCAAAGCAGTTTAAAAGTACAAGCTGTAAATTTTATCATTAGATTCCACAGGCAGAGTTAGCCTGTCAAATTGCTGTAAAATTTCCTAAATATTTACTTTCAATTTCTGTATTTTTCTGTTCATGGGATAATAATTATTTGCAAATTAGCTAGGTCTATGCACTACATTTCAAGTAGTATTTATATAGATGAGTTTTCTGGTGCCCAAACTTCCATTTTTTCCCTCCTGTCCTCTACTGATATTGTCATCCTCAGCCTTACCCATTTATTCCAAAGTCAGGTTCCATAGCTCTTATAGTGTCATCTGCAACTCCTTCATAATCTAATGGAGATGTTTTCATCCAACCTTTGATTATCACCTTCTAGATTTCCACCCCTCTCACAAGTAACCTGATGACAGCAATCCTTTGTCTCAATTGAGATAAGAAACCCAGCAATCCCTTCTCTCTTTCCACTGTCCTTGTGACCCTCTTTATTTAACAGAAATTCCTTGGATCCCTTGTTCACTTTCTTGCACACACCCCAGCCCAAGTCCCTTTATCAGACTTCCTTCAGGTTTGACAAAATACCAATTCTGGTTAAGTTCAATTATAACCACACTTCACTAAAAATGGTTGAAGCAAAGTATTTACAAACCCATATCACCTAAAATTGGTGAACACTTATCTCAAGTGGGCCTTAATAATGCCTGGGGTTCTCAATAATCCAGGAAATATAGGGTGCTTATAGATGATTGATGACAGTTTCTTCTTTTTCTTCAAACCCATAATACTCCTCATCCATTTTTTCTTGGGTGGTGTCTTTGCTTCCATTACTGTGAAAATAGAAATGGAAAGAATTCCCACTCCCCTGCCAGTACATAGCTGCTTACATCTGGACCTCTGTTTTTGTTCCTGTTGATATTCTCAACACACTAAAATGAGTGAGCTTAACACCTGAAAACAATTGTACCCTACTCACAACCTCCCAATAATTTACTGTCTCATTTGGTGTAGCTTCCAGAGCCCACCATGGTGCCCTAAACCATGGATCTCACTCAACGCCACCTCTCTAAATCATTGTCCACTGCACATGCTCTGGTTAAGCCACACTGTCCCCCTTGTTGCTGTTCATAAACACTGGCACTCTTCTGTCTCATTGCATTTGTTCCCGAAGTGACTTCTGCCCCACATGATTTTTCCTAGATAGACCATATGCTTATATCCTCATCTTCATGTTATTGCTTACTTTTCATTTCCTCAGAAAGTCCTTTTCCAACCATCCTAATTAAAATGGTAAGTGCCTCACCATACTCCATGTCTCCTTCCTCTGCTTTGTGTTTTCCATAACCCTGTCATCTTTTACTTTAAACACAGGCACATACACATGAGCCATATAATACATATAATGATATTCTCTTTTGTTGGAAGGGGTTACTGGGGATTAAACTTAGGGGCACTCAACCACTGAGCCACATTCCCAGGCCTATTTTGTATTTTCTTTAGAGACAGGGTCTCACTGAGTTACTCAGTGCCTCACCATTGCTGAGGCTGGCTTTGAACTTGCGATCCTCCTGTCTCAGCCTCCCTAGTCACTGGGATTACAGGCATGTGCCAATGCAACCAGTGATAGTCTTGATTCTCGTTTGTCCTCTTTTACTACTAAGTTCTAAGGGGCAATGACTTTTCCCTGTGTCTTATGAATCATCAGCTTTCCGACAGTGGCATATAGTAGGCACTCTATAAATATGTCCAGAATTGAAGAATTTCTATTTGAAGTTGACAAAAATTTAATCAGAGAAATTTCCAGTCTGTCTCATTCTGTCAGATTCATATAATGATGTCCAAAACTTCCATTGCAGTAACGAAACATGAAAGTCTCTTATGACATATTTCTGTGCAATTAACATGTATCCTAACTAATAGGCTGTGGTGACCTCAAGTATTTCTTTTTATATTCCGTTCCTTTCCAACTCCTCATAATATACACATAATCTTTAAGGGGAGCCAAGAGTGCTAGGGAATATTTCTAAAGCTACATGTTGTTATCATAGAAACCTGTCTCTTTGTTCCTAGAATGGTATATACAGTAGATATAGAAGAGAAGAACATACATATTAATGTCTTCACATGGCACATGCCAATCCTTCTTCCTTTTCTTGGTTTTGACACATTTTAGGATTTATTAAGAAACACTAGAATGACTATTTTAATTATTTTACTTATTTCAGTCTACTAATTCCTATCTCTAATTTTTATCTAGGCATCTCTTTACATTTATACAATCTTCATACACATATACATATTATTCATTTTCCTCCCTCTTTCTCAATTATTGCCATTTTTCAGTTTTTGGATAAACTCACTAAAAGGTGTGGAGAAGGCAGCAGGGAGCCCTGTCTCTTGAGAGTGAGAATGAGCACTGTGCTCTGTTATTCAGGTGAACCAGATCTGCGTTAGGAATTCTGCGCCATTTTGTCGCTGACAATGAGGCAGCCATGGTGGTTGGTTCTACTGCTGTTATAAGAACACTTTGGGGGTTTTTAAAATTTTTCTTATACCCTGGCTGAAGGTGAAATTATCTCACAAATGGCTTCTACACTCTATCTAACCTTTCCCTCAACGCTCAGGAATAATACAAAGTGTGGGCAGGTTAATGTTTCCTCAAATTCATTGTCTTTCCCTGTTTACAAAATATCACATTTAGACTTCCAAGGCTGATATACCTATCACACATTTCACACTAAGCTTTCTTCCCTGTCACTTCTGTGATTTCCATTATTATACATTTCGTTTTTCTCCAAAGAGGCCCTGATTCCTTCACTTTGGCATGTTTTCCTCATATATTCTCTTTTCCAAGTCTCTAATTCTGGGCTAAATTGAATCTACTCCTGTTATAAACACTTCCCTGAATTTCTAGACAAATTCACAAGCAGCAGTTTAGAACAAAATATCACATCTGAGTTGAACAAAAGATATGTTTTGATTTAATGAATGAGATACCAAATTTCAGAAAGGTAATTTCTGGCTCCATAAATTTTGATCCAAGTTAGGTACCATCTTCTGTATTATAGTAATTTAATTGTTTTAATAGAAAGCCTTCTCTTTTTAATAAAGTTTACTTTGACATAGATTATTGACTTGAAAAGTGTTTGTGATATTCTATTTAACTCTGTTAACTGTGTTTATGGGGCACATAAATGTTACATGGGCTCAACCATCCATCTGGTGGCCACTTGCTTTATTGAACTTTAATCTCCAAGAGGAAATAAAGCTGTCTTGGTTTATTGGGTTTATATGGAGAGAGACAGCAAGTACTGTGTATGATAGCACCATTGACTCTGTATGTTTGTAAAGATCTTATCTGGCATTCTGTGGAAGAAATAACTGTTGGCTTGAGTTGAAGATAAAGTATAACACTTTTTCTATAGAAAGAATTGTAGCTCTGGATAACAGCATTAGTCTTGCAGGCCAATAAAATGTATATTTGATATACCAATTTTAAAACATTTATAGTGTTCCTCTTGAATTCCCACACTATTTTGTGGTACATGAGATGTAACGCAAGCTTATAGAGTGACACTCTAGCAGTCGCATGATATAACATTATTGGTTTTAATTAGAAGTTTCTCTTAGCAATAAGGCTGATGGAGCAATAAAAATGTCCTAATTTCCCTTGAGAGGAATTTGTAGGAGACAATCTTCAAATGCTCAGTAATTCCACTCTACATTTTCTAAATGGCAAGTGAATCACGAAAGGTCATCTTGCTTTCAGACTGATTTCGCTGCTTATTTTAATTTTAATCTCTGCCTCCACTTGAAGTTACCTATGAAATGAATATAGAAATTTTCATTAAATCTACATAACATTTTATTTCCCTGACCTTTTCCTGTAAGGAAAGTCTTATAAATTACTTAACAATGGTGAAAGATTTGGGAATCAGAAGTAACAAACATCCACTTATTTTGCTATCTTTATTGCATAAAATTTATAAAGGACAATTTTAATATTTATATTCATAAGAAGGAAAAATCTGAAAATTTATACTTAGTTTTACTCCATATTGTCCACAAATGACACATAAATGAGATTACAGTTTAGATTTTTCTTTTTTTTTTAAATTTTTTATTGTTGGCTGTTCAAAACATTACATAGTTCTTGATATATCATATTTCACAATTTGATTCAAGTGGGTTATGAGCTCCCATTTTTACCCCATATACAGATTGCAGAATCTCATCAGTTTCCAAAGCTGGTGATACATGAGATTTGAGTGACTTCAAGGATCTGGAAGTGCCAAAAAATGCTCAAAAGCCTAGAATGTACACCTTTTCCTGTGTATTACTAAAATTTGGAGTAAATGTTAAAAATGTATGTCAGTGACTCAATTGGTCATATTAATCAAGTTTTACTTTTAGAAAGTGGTTATGTTGGGCCTCTTAGAGATACCCTCATTTTTTATACTTTTAGCTTACAAGTTTCCTTTCTATATTCAGAGCATAGCAAAAGTTATTTGTAACTGCAAATGGGGATATAGGATCATTATGTATGTTCCACATATGGGTGTTAGCTAGTATGAGAGTAGAATCATTTTATACATAAAAAGTTGTATTATTAGAAATTGCATATTTTGAACTTATAATAGTTCTAAAATGTCATGTTTTATTAATTGTTTATTTCAAATTGAGAAATGTTACTTGCCTGACAATGTTTTATTTTGAACAGTCATTAAGGCAATTTTGGATAAATGGCTAGTTTACATTTTTTGTGTCTAAAACATTCTGAATTTGACTTAAAATTTGCCCTAAAACTATCTTCCCATTGGGACGTCTACCATGAGACTAAAGGAACTCTTTAAATCTCATAAGCTACTGAATTTAGAATGTATTTCCCTTTGTGTCTAACAAAAATCCACCAAATCATTTGGAATATCCACAGTAAATGAATTTAGTTGTACAATTGGGTAAGAAATAATGGAACAAGCAGTTAATATCTATTAGTGCTACAATGGATCTGAATTTGCCCACCAGCAAACACTGGAAAACTTGCACAAAGATTAGAGTTTTAAAATAGTAGATATTTAACCCCTAAAAATAATGTATTTCAGATGACCTTATGCATTGTACAATAGTAACAATAATAATTCTTCCATCTATAATTTTTAATGGTATGTATCTATTTGGTATAAAACATTTGAACACCATATAAATACATTGATGAGGAGTAACCAATTGGTATGGTCTATTTACTTAATAAAAATATTCTCAGTAATCTGTTTTTGTCAAAATTCAAAGTATTTTAAAATAATTGTCTGAAAATATAGTAGGAACCCCATGACATTCCTTCCTCAGCTAATTTATGGATGAATTTGTTAGCTTATTTTCCACATGTCTCCTGATTCCCTACAATATAGAAAGTTGGATGACTCTGGATGGCAAGACCAAAATTAAGTACTCTATTTGCTGAATGCATTTTCTTGTCAAAGTAATATGTCCTTTCCCTCCCATGAGGAAGATCTTTGGATTTTCCCATGAACTTGATGTGTCTTTTTTTTTTTAAGTTATGTTTCATTTTTGTTTGTTTGTGTTTATGCTTCTCTTGTTTCTATTGCAGTTTGGCCTTGGTATTACCAACCTACAGTTTTTACTATATAAAAGCCAAAATAGAAGAGACAATAACTCAGGCCAGATGTAAGTACTGTGAAAGCCACGTCAGGGTCTATTTGTTATCTCCTAGTCTCAGATGTTTAAATACGTCTAGATTTTGGAATACCCAAGGCTTATATATTTTAGTAGGTGTTATTACCAAATCTACAGCAATGATTCTAACCCATTCCAAACATGCAAGGAACAAGAAATATTCTACATGGATAGAATATGAGCAGGTACTCCAGTCTCACTGGCAGTCCCCACCACCCTTCCCTGCCTTGCTATGTGCTCATAGAATCATTGCAGTGCTGTGTCCTCTGTTGCTGTCGTTTTAAGGGTCTGCTAGCTGATGTACAATGTTTCACATGCTAATTATCAACATGGTCTCTACTCATGGCTCTGTGCTAGTAAAGCTTTTCCTTTTCTTATCTTTCCTTTCACTTATTTTTTCTGTTGCCTTTGGCTAGAATAATATTGTGCTTGGCAATTAACTTTCTTTCCATAATCCAAATTAATGTCTCAGTAACTCAAACCGATTTTTTTTTAATGAGCATCATTTGGAATGTGGAGTAATTATGAACACTAGTGCATATTTCCAGTCATTGTTCATCTTTGTTTGGGGTGACTAGATTTAGTAAAGTAAAATGACCATCATATCCTTTGCAGTTCATTCATTATTAACAACCTAAATTTTTTCTGTTAGGATTAAGAAAAAAATATGTATATAGAATATATTTTGTACATCTGGCTTGAGAATAAACTAAAGTTTCCTTCATTTCTGTATTGGATCTTTTTTTTTTTAACCTCTACAGGCCTGGTGTTCATAGAATATTGTGGTATATTATAAATTTATATTTGCACTTTCACTTAATAGATATGATGGTCTTTTAACAACCAGCAATTTTGCATGAGCTAGTCCTTCACTTGACAAATGAGGGATAACTAGTGAGTCCTTGATGATTGGTAAGTGCTTCCATTAATAGGCTGATATCTTGGGTATTTGCACCTGCATTAACCACTTCGCAAAACAGACCCTTGAAATAACCACAGTACAGAAAGGGTAATCTAGTAAAATTACCAGGACATACCTTCCAGCCTTCAAAAATGTCTTTTTTTTTCCAGACTACAGCTGTACATAAATGAACCTTTGATCTATGCACAATATTTTTATTCAAGAAAGTCATTGAATAAAATATTGTTTGTGACCCCCTTTGCTTTACCCTCTTTTTTTTTGTTTCCCTGCTTTCTCTTTCTGATGGATTTTCACAGCAAAAAAGGGCAAAATGAAGGGCAAGTATTTTCTTGTTGCTCAGTTTCTTTCTCTTAAGTACACTTGACATTTCCACTGATATTTCCATTCCTATTGGATATTATCCTCTGTGCTTCTCATTTGCTAGATTCTCCTCCACAGTCACTCAAACCTTAGCAGCAAAAATGGGGAAGAATATGCTTGCGTTTTCATATGCAACCTGTCTCATGTTCAAGTTTTTTCATAAAATTAAAATTGTGTTTTTTATCCTTCTACTTACTAATTCATACCTAAAATGAATAATGTTATTAATTGACTAAATACATTAAGTTTATTAAAATCATTTTTGTATCATAATATTGGTAAACTTTTTCTATTTTTATTTGAAATAAAATACTTAATGTAACATTGATATGAAGTTTTCTTTAAAAGATATTTGATTATACTGTGGTTAGTAAATGGGAAAAATGTAGACTGCATTTTATCTGGTATAAACTGTTGTAATCAGGTAGTTAAGTAAATCCATGATATGGCATTATTTCTATATTGGGAAGCATTAAGGACCTTTATGGTTTTGAATTTGTTTCACCTTTTGGATGTAAGTAGTCTGTTTTTATTTTTAAATTTTTCTTACTAGGTAATCTTTTTAATGCATTCTTATTGTCATAGAATCTTGGAATGGGTACTTGTTGTTTATTTAATCTGTGACATTATCTTTGCAGATTCCGAAACCCTGAAGCCAGATAACTTTGAAGAATCTGGCTATACATTCATAGCACCAAGGTTGGTTTTAGGCTTTTCATGTTTTGCTTTCCTTTTTTTAAAGCTTTTTGCTTGGGTAAGTCCTTTAACAGATATTCTAAATTGTAGTCAAGACTACTTTGGGTTAATCCTATGTCAAATTATGAAACCTAAGACAATGACTTTTTAAAAACTGTACAATATCCTGGTTATACATTCATTTATTCATTCAGATACTTACTGAATAATTGCTATGTATAATTCAAGCATACAATGGTGAATGGGATAGATGTAGGCTTTGCTCTTATGGAACTAAAAATATACCAAACAGTAGTGGAGAATTATGTATTTATGCATTTGTACTTTGAATATATACATTGTATATGCACACATATATATACACATATGCAGAAAATATGACATATATTTATCTCACAAACATACACATACATAAGTATACATAGATATGTGCAAATACAGATGCGTATGTTTGTGTAAACATTTGGAAAGTTTGAAACTCATAATTGATTTTTGTTTAACACAGATTTCTGGGGAACTACTTTAATATTGTGACATTGCCTCACATGATTCTCCACATGAACCTTTTTCTCCTACTCAATTTTAATTTTCTCATATAATCTCCTTTCTTTATCCCTAATATGTAGCTTTTATGCCTACCTCTCTTTTCTATGATTATTTGAAACTATGCAGTAATCCATGAGTATTCTTTTTTTCTTAGCTTGACTCCTACTCTATAGCACACATATACAGCATTCCCATTAGTGGAGGATAAAATATTAAGTAGATCTCAAAGTTTGTATTATTGATTTTTCAGGCTTATACTTCTTGAAGAAATTATTCCAAGAACCCAAAAGGGCTCATAAAAATTGTTCTCAGTGATTACTTTTATTTTTATGAAAGCAAATTTCTGAATTCTGATTCTACTTAAAATAGGGAGTAAATGTAACATTTTAAAAATTGGCAGTTAAAAAGCTCTCTCAGTAATTCCTCAAAAAACTAAGAATGGAACCACCATTTGACCCAGTTATCCCACTCCTCAGCATATATCCAAAAAAAAAAAAAATTAAATCAGCATGTTACAGTGACATAACCACATCAATGTTTATAGCATTACAATTCACAATAGATAAGCTATGGAAAAAACCTAGATGCCCATCTACAGAGGAGTGGATAAATAAATTGTAGAATATACACACAATGGAATATTATTCAGCCTTAAATAAGAGTGACTTTATGACATTTTCCAGTAAATGGATGGATCTGGACAATTCCAGGCTAAATGAAATAAGCTAATCCCCAAAAATCCAAAGGTTGAAATTTTTGCTGATATGTGGAAGCTAAACCATATTAAAGGGGGAAAGATGAAGAAGAGAAGTTTATTAAATTAGACAAAGGGGAATGAAAGGAAAGAGGGATAGGAATAGGAAAGAGAACAGAATAAATCTAACATATTTTTCCTATGAACACATATGACTCCATCTAAGTATACCCCACCATCATGCTCAGGGTCCTCATTAGAATACGATATATCCTATGATTCTATAATTTTATCAAGATGGATTTTAATGTCATATATAACTAAGAAGAACCAATAAAATAAAATTGAACAAAATAAAAGGTAAAAAAATACTCAGCTTTGGAAGTGTTTTTGGAGTGTTCCCTTCTGCATTCTCTTCCTCCTCTTTCTTGATGTCACACTGCTGTGGTTCTCTTACTCCCTATCTGGCTCCTCTGCTGACCACTCACATGAGGTTGCTGCAAAGGATGCTTGTTAAGGTTCTCTTATTTGAGTCTGCCTTCACACCACAAGCTACCATGCTTGCCTGCAGTGTAGGGTGATGGCTCCCAAATCTAACATAATGGCCACAATGTCTAGAAGCAGAAGTAGACATTATGAGCAGTTTATTGACATTACATCACAACACAGAATCACATGTATCCCTATCCAGACTTTGTCTACCTTACATATTTCAGTATGAGATAGTCATATCTCATGGAAACTTGCAGGAATATTTGTTGATTATGCTTCAAATTCCATGCCTTGTAAATCTCTCTCCTCTTTGGAGGCTCTTCTCTGTGTATTGTGTCATGAAGGAAATACCACCCTCCCAAATGGCAGTCTTGAAACTGTGTGTTGCCCTCAACTGCTCCCTTGCCCTTAGATCCAAGGGCTCAGCACTCACCACACTGTACCACTTTTGCCTCATGAGCATCACATGCATCTGTCACTGTCACCTGTTTTGCATTGTTCAGGTACTGCTTTTTTGCCCCTTAGATACTCCCAGCTCCCTCCAACTTCTCCATACATTCACACATCCACTTTGCTTCCCAGTCCTGTATTTATTCTGAGACTATTTTAAAATATGAATAATATTTTTTACATCGACTTAATACTAACCAGTTGCTGTATATTGTCCTCATGACAGTCTTTACTTTATATCATAACTTCCAAGTGCTCTGTTACCAGGTCTCATTGTACCAATGTGGTCACCAGCCTCTAAATCAGGGGCTTTCAGACCAGCTGCCTGTTTTATGCAGTGAGCTCTACTGGAGCACTAGAATAGAACACGTGCTTGGTTTTTTATATTGTCTCTGACTGCCTTTGCTACAGAGGCAGAGTTGAGCAGTCCTGGCACAGACGTTAAGGCCCACAGAGCCTGAATCACTTACTCTGTGACCCTTTGAGAAAAAGTTTGCCTTCCCCTGCTCTAAATTCTAGACACACTAAACTTCTCCCAGTTCCTAAATCCACTGTTTTTATTGTCAATGTTGTTGCTTTTCTTTGCCATCTTCCACTTACTTTCTTTTCTATTTTCTACAGTACATACTCTATCACCCCACTCTAGACCTCAGCCTCAAAGCTTCTTAATCAAGGAATTTCCTTTCCATCTTCATTAGATCATGCGTCCCTGCTGACTGCTTTAGAGAGTACTACAGTTCCCTTATCAAAGCACTGACCACATTTCATTTTATTGACTTTCCTTGATAGAGCCACGACTATGTCTATTTGAATTACCATCCAATGCCCAATATCAAATCCATTGCCTGGCATGCTATAGGTGGTGAATAAATATATGAAGAATATTTTTAAATCATATGATTAACCATAATCCCTGGAATTTTATTAGCAGTTTTCACACACAAGTACATTTGGACAACTTTCAATTTGTTATTTCAAATAACTTAAAGCTACTAAAACCAGTTTCAACTAGAAAGAATAATATTCTCAGTGTTCTGCTTTATATTCCAAATATTAAGGATGACATTAGCTAGAAAAGAGGAATTTTCAAATAAACATTAACATAGCAAAAATGTAAGAAGAGATTAAAATTAGCCCTAGTGTGTTGACTAAACTCTCTCTGCATCTCAGATATATTATCTCTGGAAAGCTTCTTCAATTCTCTCTGCTACTAAATAGCAGACTAATTTTCTCATTTTCATCCTAAGAGAGACAGAAAAGACGATAAAAATCCAGGTGCACACAAAGAGAATAAATACATCTCTCAATCCAATTTCTAATTCTTAGGCAATAGATTTTGTATAGTCCATCAGAAATTAGCATATGGACTATTTCTATAGCCTAAGTAATATTTGATAGCAATACAGAAACTTTAATTTGCTTAAATTGAATTCATGTGTGTGTTTAGGAGAGGAGCCTAAACATGGAAGAATTGTAGCTTTTAGGACAAATTAATGAGTGTCCACCTCAATATATGCTAAACCCTGTTTTGAACAGAATATTTCCTGTTCTATAATAACAACTCTATAATAAATTAGTATTATGATCCCATTTCACAGATCAGGAAACAGTTTTAGATATGTTAAATAAGATGAGATTTGACCCAATTTTCTTGTCACTCCAAGCTATTATATGTACATTGAAGATGTAAATGCAAAGGGATCTCAAAAGAACACCCAGTACAATTTTTGTAGGGAAGAGTTCTTGAAAAAGTAAGTATCAAATGTATACTCAAAGTGATATAAAATTGGAGTGAAGGAAATAAAACTAAGAATAGAGATATTTGTGTGGCAGTTGTAAAGTTTTTTCTGATGCTATATTTAATGAGAAACAATAGGGCAAGCTTTAGAGCAAGACTGTACATATATGAGTCTGCTTTTCAGGTCTTCATTTTTGTGGCTATTACTCAAATTCTGTATACCTTAGTTTTTTAATTTGCAAAATAATACCTACCTTATAGAGTTCTTATTACTTTAAATAAGATAATGCCTAGAAAGTATTTATCATAGCTCTTAATAAGATATGAACTCTAAGTAAGTATTAGTTATCTTTAAAGTTGTAGTAGGAGTAGCTGTATGAGGAATATTATTTAATAAAGGCTGTTTAAAAATGTTTTAAAATAGCTGGCAAATTTGAGCATAAACCATTTTTGTTAATTCCTAAATGAATTATTGGATCCTGATTAATAGAAAATGGATTCAGTTTCATTCAATTTTAAGACTGCTATGAAAGGAAAACACTGAGAATGTAAATGCATGGAGCAAGATTCCAATCTTTAAGAGGCATGCAGTCATAACTTTGCAGAGGTGACCTACTACTGGCAGAGCCGGAACAAAGCAGCAGTCCCTACTCAGAATTCTTTTCTTGTCTGAGAGGATTCCAAGCAAGACTGGAGACTTGAGAAAATAATAGCAAACTTTATTAGAAGGGATGGAAAAAGTGACTTAGGGAGAGAGTGGGTCCTTTGAAAGGAAAAGAGGGCCTAATCCTGCTGCCTTCCAGTATTATTGGGGGGTGCCAAGGAGGATTCCAGAGAGTCCCACTCAGGTCCATTTCTAGATTTTTGATTGACAGCAAGACTGCATCAAACTTCTAAGTCCCTACTGTGCATGTAAAAGGTCCAGGGCAACTCTAGGTCACTTTGGTCCATGCTGACTAGTTCTAACTGAAATCTGTACTTACAGATTTTATGATTAAGGGAATTATTCTGATCTCCCTGAGTTTTAGCACTCAGGGAGTAAGTGGTCTGTGGATTGGTTACAAAATTGATAGGATAACCTTGTTCTTCTTATTAGCATTTCAAGCCTGGGGATTACAGGTTGTTTGCTGAGCGATGTAATATATCCTAGTGACTTAATCTAGGCAGGGCTGCAGGTAAATTTCTTTTTAAATAAAGCATCCAGAGGTCAGCACAGTGGGGTCACATTATAGAATTCTTCCCTTAAATACATGTTCCGCTGCACACATCTGTCTACTACCTATCAAGAGAGCATGCAAAGTCTAAAACATGGATTAATTTTACTATTTTCTTGGATAAGCAGAAATAAGCAGGAGTTAGGATGAGAAAGAAATACCAATATGTGATAGCCTATAGTTAACTGCTAGATTATGATATATGACCTACATTATACTTACTCTTGAGCAGAAAGTAAACAAACTCCCTTTGGATATTCTAGAAATAATTTGCCAATTTTTTGGAATATAATAGAATTTATTGAAAAATAGGAAAAGAACAAGGACATACTAATAGTAGACTTTCTCTAATTTGCCAAATTTCTAACACCATAGTTCTTTCAAAGTTCCTTCAGGTTTGTGGTTAATTTCAAAGCCATTTACATCACAAATCCCATTAATCAGAAATACAAAATGACCAAAAGACATAGCTTTCTGGCCTTGATGGAATTTTAAGCAAATTGAAGTTTTATTTTTTACCTTTATAGTCATCTGAACATTTCTCCATCTTATCGCCTCATCTACACTAAGGAATTTTCTTCCTGAGAGAAATTAATAATGATCAATGTGCAAAAATATGATTTCTTCTTTTTAAGAAACATTGTCATATAGAATGTGTATTAGGAAGGTCTTTGCACGTTTCTGGGGGGAAATGGCTTGGCTGTTTTGTTAACCACAGTTATTGCCACCCACTGTCACAGCATGGCTCCTTTGGGACCAGAACTTAAGAAAGGATGATTGATACTTTTTGAGTTTTCAAGCTCCCAGCCTTGTGGGGAACAGTCATTAGGCTCACTAACCAACAATAGTGCAGGCTTTCTAGTCACACATTCTATGTCTCAAATAACTTCAGTCAGGCGCTCTGTGGTGTGTGATTCTCTGTTGTCGTCTGGATCATTCTTACAGGGGAACTCATTCCACCCGCTTCCCTTATATAAATTATTCCTACTTCGTTTCTATTTTGATTCAATAATTCTCTATTGGTAGTTTCAACATGTCCATAGCATTGCACTACTAAACATCAAAAGGTAGATAATATGTTTAGACTAGTTTAAAACTGAGCCACAGCTGAGCCTGCAAGGATTAAAAAAAAAAAAATTGTCTAAGTAGAGTGGTCACAACACGAAAAAACCTTCTATGGATAGAGGTCAAAGATGCTTTTGGCTTCCAGTTTTGTGGCAATGAAAGTTCACAAAGTGAAAATTCTAAGCTTATTTCGTGAAGGAAACACACTAGTTAGGGATCTGAAGATAGGCTTCTCCTCAGAGGAGATATGATATTAAGTGCCTTTGCAGAAATCTCTTTACCTCTTTGAATCTATTTCTTCATCTTTAAAATTTTACATATTTTTTGATAAGGTTATTTCCAAATAAAATGAACAAAATAATTTTAGAAATGGCTTGCAAATAAAAGTAGTATTCCAGAAGTGGTTTTATTAAAAAATATTTGCAACGTTTTGCTTAGCCCTTCTTAAACTTTGCTACCAACTTCTAATTCTGTGAGATCATAATTCACTGTATTAGTCTTTTGATTTACAGGCTGGTGTTATTTCTAAAATAGCATAGCATTATGGGAAGAAGTCAAATTTAGCTCTCTCAATATCTCAGAGTTCAAGTCATGTAAAAACACTTTTTTTTTTTTTGAAATTGAGTTTTGCTAAGTTGCCAACCCTGCCCTCCAGCTCAGAATCCTCTTGCCTCAGCCTCCCTTAGTACCTTTGACTACAGATGTGTGCCACCACAGCTGGCTATACTTTCTAAACCTTGCCTCTTTTTGTAAACCAAGAATGTTGCATTGTTGTTGAAGTTCAAACAGTTTGTCTGTTCTGCTTTATTTTCTGAGGTTTTGCATTTGAAGATGTTTTCTATTTATTCGTATTTTATATTGAATATTTGATTATTTTGTTGGATGAATTAACCTACAAAATTATCATTGTTGAGTTTTTTTTGTGTGTTTACGTTGTCTTATGTTTATTCTAAATTTCCAAATCATTTCAAACTGCAGTTATCAAATTAAGGTTTGCAGAACCCCATGGGTTCCAGAGGGTCCATGTTATTTTCATAATGATATTAAATGTTGTTTACCTTCTTCCTTGTATTGATATTGATACTTGTGCCAACAGTGCAAAAGCAACAGTAAACACCATACCTAAATGTGAATCAAGCCAGTCACTATGAGCACTGGTAGCATTCGTAAGGCCCCAGGTGCAGCAGCTGCATGAGGGCAAAAGCCAATCTTCCTTTAAAATACACACAATTGAAGCCCTAAGAATCATTTAGTTTATAAAAGTTTTCCCCTATAAAAAGGGACAATTTTCTGTATTTTATCATTCTATTTGATAAAGCTAAAAGTATTTCAACATCTGAGAAGAGCTTGGATGCCTCAAAGAAGAGCACTTATCTGTTGTTTGAATTGGGAGATGAACTAAGTGCTTTTTGCCTTTTTAAAAAATGAAATGTTTACCTGGAAAAAATGGCAGACATTTTTCAAAAATGAATTAGTGAGACTTTTACCTTGAAGAAAACAAGTAAACATATTTGTTGCCAATGACAAAATCTAGGCTTTCAAGCAAAAAAAAAAAATCAGAATTTTGGGAAAGCTGTGTCCATGAGAGCAAGATGACGGCTTCCCAATACAGACCTAAATGGTGACATCAGTGGTGATATTAATGGATGCAAATTTTCAATATTATATAATGAAATGTGTCATCATTCGGAATTCCTACACAAATTATATTTTCCAAATAATCAATTTATGATGCTAGAAAATAATGGATGCATAAGAGATTGATTCAAATGCAAGATAGAGGATCAAAATTTTATTTGCGACAACATAGCTTCTTCATACATCAAAACAAAATCTTGCAGTTGTTCAAATGCAGAGAATACTTGTCTGCATTAATCTACAATTAAGTTAGGAATTAAAGATACAAATATTTAAAACTTGCCACTTTTTCATAATTTTTAAATATAATAACTTCTCTTATAGTCTTAATATATAATGGATTTATTAATATTTTAATGGACATTTAGATTTCTGTTTTAATTTCTAGATGAGAACTATAATACCTTCAATATGCAATAGTTTATTTAATAAAACAAAACCTGGATTTTTATAATCTCACCACTTACTGACAAACTATTCTTCTGTTATGGAGATGAGGAAATAGAGGTAACAAGGCTTACAAAGTCATGCATCTAGTAAAAAGGGGGGAAAATATTGTTTCTGCTACCTGTAATTACCCTGTAAAGTTTTGATTTTGATACCTAATATTCTAAAATATATTTTTTCAGAGATTATTGCAATGACCTTAAACCATCTGATAACAACACTGAATTTCTTTTAAATTTCAATGAGTTTATTGATCGAAAAACTCCAAACAACCCATCATGTAAGTATATATTAATTTGCAGTAATTGCTTAAGTGTGGCTTTTTTACCCAGAGTGGTTAAATCATGGTTTATATTGAACATTATGATAATTGTATTAATTTATTGGTGTGCTCATTTACTTATATACTCTATTAATTTTTTATGGTAAAGTTAACTATTTGATCCCTCTCCCTTCTTTCATTTGTCTCCTCCTACTCCCTTCTCTCCCCCCTCTCTATATCTAAACAAAGCACTTTATCACTTATCAAAGTGAAAACCCCATTTTCTTAAAGTTGTCTCTAAATTTATCACATACAAGCAGAAATGACTTCCTAGTGCCTCCATAGCTCAGATTTGCAAATGACTTCTAGGAACCACTCTAAAAACATATCCTGGGCAGCTGAGGTCGCCACTGATCCTACCTTAACAGGATGATTCCAAACCTTTCTTCTCAGTGAAAGCTTACTTTATTGAACCACAGCCTTCTAATGTTATTTTATGTCATTCCCTATCAACAAGTAATAAGCATGCCCAAGAGAGAACTGAAATAAGGTTGTTTAAAGGTACTTGAATTGAATAACAAAATTAATGTAATACTCTCATGTGAAATCACAAATTTATCATAAATGTTTATCTTAACTTGTAATCTTTAGAACACCATGAAAATTGGAATCACTCTCTTTTTCTACTGCACTCCTTAGGGAAGTGCAGATATGTTTTTAAAAATGCTTTCTGTATGATCCATAGTGTTTTTGTCTTTTCTTCAGTCTCTTCCTTTTATCTACCTTTTATCTGCCTCCCTTACAACCAAATAGGAAATAATTGAGATAAATATGTATATAGTGAAGAACAGAAAAAAGGATAGGATTTTTTAATTGTAGAAAAGAGATCATATATGTGAACTTAGATTTTTTAAATGTTTTTTTCTTTTTTTTTAATCAAATAACATTAAACTTGAAAAGTAGATATCAGCCATTGAAATCTGTGATCAAAATAGATTTTGCTTTGTAAAAGTACCTATACTTGGTCCATAAGTGAAATTACAATTCTTCCTAAAGTCTAAATGAATTTACTAACTTACCTAAATGTTTATTATATAGATTTATTGTTGTCCTCACATCCTTCCTCCTTCTCATTTAACTATTGTTTATGAGAAACTAAGTGTATAAAAATGTAAAGGGTAATGCTGATAATTTATATATTGTATTTAACCAGCTTCAGAAAACATATTTCAAGACACTTGGGGCACAGTGAAATGATGAGCAAAATTATAAAATTGCTTATAACCTTGATTTATATTACAAATTAGAATAATAGTCTCATTTGTTTTACCTAAAAGGATTGGAGACAATTAAAATACACAATTTAATTTCCAAGTGGGCTATTTTTAAAAGTAATGCAGTTTCTAAAATAATGTAAGATAGCTCCTAGAATGAATTGAAATTTAGTCAAAAATATGAATTAAATTGATCCTCCAATCCCATAAGAAAGAAAAATTAAACTAATTAAAATGTTTCCAGCCTATTAAACTTCTTACAGTAATTGGATATTAACTAATACCATACCTTACTTATTTGAATAAAATGAGATTCTGAAATAAATGGGAAATTTTAGAGAGGGTATCTTAGATTGTTTAAGAGCTTCATGGGCTTAGAGTAGAGGAGCAAGCAGAACAGGAAGACAGTAACACTGTTTAAGAATGTATTAATTAACCTTCAGTCCTCCGCATCTATTCCCTTCTTTATCTTGAATTTGCATTGATATGCTCTTTGGGTACACAGAAAGGACAACTGCATCCTGTGCTATTGAACCAATACAGTAGGTTCCAGAACCCAGTCTCAGAGGAGAGCTGATCTATGATGGCCAATTTGTTCCTTGCCGTGCTCCAAAACAAAAAAAGGATGTTTATTGAATTTTTCATAAAGTCATATTTATTCCATAATTTTCTTATGTTCCTATTAAAATACATTTTCTTACAAAAATAAATGAAAATGAAAGCAGAAAGTAATTTTTGTTTAATATTTTTACTTGATGATTTCAGAATTACCAATCTTATCAGATATCTGTATATCTAAATCTATCTACACACACACACACACACACACACACAAAGAAAAATAAGATTGTACAAAGAAAAATAAGATTTATTAAAATTTTCTACGAACCTTTTTTTTTATTTTGGAACCACCATGATAATCTACAGAACCAAACTAAAAGCAAAGAAGGAAGTCTCTTTCCTCATCATTTGTCAACATGGTATATTTTAAGTGTCCCTTTGATTTAAAAAAATATTTTAAGTCAAGATAATGCTGATTTTACAAAAGCTTTTTTCTTTCGGAATTGGCTTTTCTACTGCTAATTCCAGCTATATCTCAAAAAATATGGCAAAATGAATATGGAATATAATTTTTAAATTCATGGAAATATTCGGTCTAAATTACTTTTGAAAACAGAAAATACATTTGCTTTAGTGTTGTACTCGTTAAAAAAAACAATGTGGGTATAATTGAATATATTATTTTTCTATTAGGTAATACAGATTTGATTAATAGAGTCTTACTGGATGCAGGCTTTACAAATGAACTTGTCCAAAATTACTGGAGCAAGCAGAAAAATATGTAAGTATTTGTTTTTATTAATAAAAATATATACTTGTGCAATTTAGTTTTGCTTCTTCCTGCGAATTTTTTGGACAAAAGGCCTCAAAAAATTCAAGTTTATTTTTTGTCTTTAATAATAATTTCTCAAGAGAAGCATTTTACAACTGTTGACAACCTGCTTTCTCAGGTGGGTGTATTTCAGTATTAATATCTGCTATTACTCAGCTTTATACTTCAGTGTGAATAATCAAATTGATTGGCATGTTTGTATGCTTCTGTGTTTTTAGTGAAACAGCATTTCTAGTGAATATTTAGTTGGCTTTCTAGTAGTGTCTCCCATATATCCAGTCTAGAAAATGAGAAATCTGATTAAGATTCTCATTCATAATCTCCCTACCCCATTTCTACTCAATTGCTAAATGCTGAATCTTTCTAACAAAGTTTTCCTCTCTTCCTCATAAAAATGGGATCTTAGGACCTTAAGAAATTTCAGCAACTGATTTTTCTGTATTTCATGCTCCCCATGCCTCCAACCACAGCTCCCAGTCTATTCTTCATACAATACACACATGCCAGAATCTTACTTAGAAAACAGAATTCTAATTTCAAGATAACAATGGAGCTCTCTAGCTTGGACTTCAAAATTATTCATGGTGGTCATTCCTTAGAAGCTTGTTCTTGAAACTTAACTTCCTACTGTTTATCTACTTTGCTTATGCCCTTCTTACATCTGACAGCAGCACTTATGTATATGTATATAAGCTTTCCCTAATACATACTCATAGCTCTCCATGTGATGTCTTCTGCTTCCTCCGTCATCCCTCCTAACTCCTGTTCATCTTCAAAATGCACCTTTCTTATTATTTCTTACGAGATGACTTCCTTAAACATACCCCTTTGAGTACTTACTCAAGGATTCTTCAATTATTATGTTTCAATTATTGAAATATAGTTTTGCAACTATATTTACCTTGACTTCTTTTAAGACCTTGCTTTATTTCTTTCTGTGTCACCCACACCTAACATAATAACTTTGAGTAAATTTAATAAAACATTTCCTTCTTTTAATCTTCTGTTCCAGCAAGGGAGTGAAGGCTCGGTTTGTTGTGACTGATGGTGGGATTACCAGAGTTTATCCCAAAGAGTAAGTTCAAATAACATCTGTAAAAATAAGTACCTTACAAAGGATTGTGCCAAGACTATATAAGGAAGCCTTCTTGAGAGCAACTGATCATTTTTGTAGATCAAATTAGAGTCATTGTTTAATGTGCTTATATTATTATAATATCCCATTTATTTGAAAAATGATATCATAGGATCCTTCAATGGTACTGTTGCTAGTCATATGTATTTATTACAAAATTCATTAGCGGTTGAAGGAGACTTTTTGTAGACACAAGCCCAACTATTAAGTGAGCAAATGATTATAACTTGTCAGCAACAGTGGTGTAGCTTTTCAGTGTTTCATTTTTCTTTAATGTATTCAATTTCTGTTTATCTTAGGAGTAGTTCCTTCAGTGCCCTGAGTAGTCACCAAGGCTATTAATATTAATTAACTTATTAACTGACTTATCCATAATTTCCTACAAGCAAATGGCAGGCTAAAATTAGGATTCAGCTTTTTCTGATTCTTCATATAATGACATGCTGATATATTGCTTATAATAAGTATCCATTACATTATCCACTAACTTCCCTATACACACCTGAGGGATAGATGTATGTATAAAGTTCAGTATTTCCACAAAGGGAGAGGTAGGTTATCTGGGACTTTAAAGAGTACAAATGATGAGCCATTTCCTCCTTAGGGCTGGAGAAAATTGGCAAGAAAACCCGGAGACATATGAAGACAGCTTCTACAAAAGGAGCCTTGATAATGATAACTATGTTTTCACTGCTCCCTACTTTAACAGTAAGTATTGCTTTGGAACTCAGTTTTCTCAATTATGTTTTTTAAAGCAAATTATTGTTACTACCTTCTCTTCCCCAGTCAGTATATTTCATGTTAACTGCTCAGAATAGTCATTATTAAGCCACAGCATATGCAAAACATTAGGAAAATAGAAAAGAAACATCCATTTAGTTTAAGAGGTAAAATGCATGCATAGCAAAGTAATGTAGAATAGCATATCTAGCAGGCAGCTTAATAAATAGAAACATATGTAGTTCATCCTTCATGTCACAGCTGAAATATGTGAAAGAATGTTTAATGAATTAAATAGTTGATTAATTGCATTTTATCAGTATTAATTACATAAGGTAGCATTTATAAAAATAATAGCCCATCTTTTAAACTATTTTATCAGGTTCTTTACAAAAACAAAAGACTTTCTAATTTAATTCTCCTGAGCTCAGTCTGAGCATAGGTATTTTTTACTCCTGTTTTTACAAGTGTCAAAACTGAAGTTTAGAGAATTTCAGTTTTGTCCAATGGTTTTTAAAAGGCAAAGTAGTGTTATGAATCCAAAGTCATTCTTTCTACTCCAGTTTAGCAGCCTACCCAATATTTGTGCAGATGTCATAAAGCAGAGATTTGGTGTTCATCTTTTTTTTCAGTTTTATTTTTTGATTAATTAATTTATTTATTATAATTGATTTTATTTTTTAAATACATGACAACAGAATGCATTACAATTCTTATTATACTTATAGAGCACAATTTTTCATATCTTTGTATATAAAGTATGTTCATGCCAATTCATGTCTTTATGCATGTATTTGGGTTTTTTATTTTTGCATTACAATTCTTATTGCACATATATACCACAAGTTTTTATATCTCTGTTTGTATCTAAAGTATGTTGACACCCAATTCGTGTCTTCATACACATACTTTAGATAATGATGTCCATCACATTCCACCATCCTTGCTGATCCCCTGCCCCCTCCCTTTCCCTCCCACCCCTCTTCCCTATCTAGAATTCATCTATTCCTCCCATGCTCCCCCTCCCTACCTCACTATGAGTCAGCCTACTTATATCAGAGAAAACATTTGGCATTTGTTTTTTTGGTATTGGCTAACTTCATTTAGCATTATCTTCTCCAACACCCCCCATTTACCTACAAATTCCATGATTTTATTCTCTTTTATTGCTGAGTAAAATTCCATTGTGTATATATGCCACATTTTTTAATCCATCCATCCATCTAGGTTGGCTCCACCGTATAGCTATTGTGAATTGTACTGCTATAAACATTGATGTGACTGTGTTTGTGTTCATCTTTTACACTGTGAAATAAGATCAAATCAAATTGAGTAATTCATGCTCCTAAATCAATAGATATCAATTCATGGACTTCCAGTTAACCCAGTATATAAAGGAAGATGAGAGAAAGAAGAGATAACATGCTTTTTATAGATTTTATATGCAAGATTTTTTTTTTTCTTTTTGGCACCTATGGTTGAACTCAGGGATGCTCAACCACTGAGCCACATCTCCAGTCCTTTTTTTATTTTTAATTTTGAGACAGACAGTTGTTTAGGACTTTATTATATTGTGGACACTAGCTTTGAACTTGTGATCCGTCCGCCTTCGCCTCCTTGGGCTGCTGGGATTACAGGTGTGTGCCACCATGTTTGGCTATATGCTAGAATTTTTAAGAAAAACACTATATAGTATCCATTGAAGAAATTGAAATCAATTGAAGAAATCAGTTTTATGATTTATCTAGATTGGTCTGATTTTTATTTTTTAGAAAGTGGACCAGGTGCATATGAATCAGGCATTATGGTAAGCAAAGCTGTGGAAATCTCTATCCAAGGAAAACTTCTTAAACCTGCGGGTAAGCATATAAGAACATATAAACATGACCAGAATTAAAAACATATAGTTAAATATAAAATTGGAGATAAAATTAACTTGATAGTATACAAAGTTGAAGAATTTTCAAAGTGGATATGTTAATATATTTAAGTTTATGCAATCACTTTAGTGTAATGTATCACATTTAGTGTGATATATCAGAATTTCAAATACAAAATATTAAATCTAGAATTGATCTTGTGACCCTACCATGCTCTCCTACTTTCAATACATACAATATTATGTGGCCAAGGTTGTAAATATTTTTAATAATTTAAACTTAAAGCATTAGGTTTGTATCACTGGGGGAAAAGATACATCATAGCTAACCTATACCCTAGATTACTATATATCTGAAAAAGAAAGATAGGGCTCTATTGCATATACAATAAAATATGGAAAATGACTTTTGGTAAAATAATTGAACAAAGAAAAAACATTGTAAAACTTAGGATCAATGAGAATTGGAAGTGGACAAATGCAATACTATCTTTTTATTTTTTCACTATGGGATTCAGTATTGTTTGAAGTTTAGAAAGAGCATATATTAAAATTGGGTCAGATGGAAGTAGGGAGATTGTTTGGATGTTACTGAGGGTGATTCTATTTCATGAATTCACTCCTTCCCTCATTCTCTCATTCACATTTTCCTTCCTTAACTCCATCAGTTATTCTCTTAGCAACTGGTTCACTTGCCCATGTGCTCACTCATCTACCCACTCTATCAATAAGTATTTCCTAAGCACCAATCACATGCACTGATAGGATTAGGGCAACCTCTTAAAATATACTGCTTGAATGACTTCATGTTGATGAAGTTATCCCTGACACTCCTTTTTTTAGCTTATAGTATTAGTTAATTGGCCAGATTCTGGTTGTCAAATAAAACTGTTTTATGAATATTAATTACAGTTTATGGAATAGTTTGAGAGCTATTTACATTATTTATTATGAAGATCCTAAGAAATACATCTTTATAAGAATATTATATTTCAAACCATCATTTATTTGCTATTGTATAAACTGTCAAAAGTGCTAGTATACTTAATTATCACTTTAAATTAATTAAAATTATTTTTCAGTTGTTGGAATCAAAATTGATGTAAATTCTTGGATAGAGAATTTCACCAAAACCTCAATCAGGGATCCGGTAAGATAATTTTTAAAAAATTTTTATGTTATACTTAATATTGTAAAAATTCAACCTAGAAAAAATACCATTATACAATAACAAAATAATTTTTAGTGACACTAACTATATTAAAATAGAAATATTTATTCCTATTTTTGAAGCTTTTTGTTTAAATTAATAAATAAAAAGGTAGTTCAAATTTATTACTTGAAATGCTACTATATATTTTGATTGATATTTCTTATGCTAAAACTTTCTCTTATGATCTAGACTATTATTTTATTCTAGATAAATCATTCCAAAACTCTAATTATAACAATCATAACTAATTAATGTTATTTAATATATTTGAAATCAACTTTTTTTAAAAAGTGTGAAATGATAATTGTATCTCTGTCTTTCAGTGTGCTGGTCCAGTTTGTGACTGCAAAAGAAACAGTGATGTAAGAAAACTCTTTAAAAATATATTTAACTACAATAGGTTATTGTGTTACTCTTGCTCACTGAGATTTGAAAGATAAAAAGGGGTATATGAATTTTTAATCTTATGCTAAAAAGATTCTGGGGAAATGTGAAATAGGTATGAATGAAAATAGGTCTGAATTTGAATTTATGTGCTTTCGATTCCTAATTTTATTTTATATTTTTCTTATTTGGCAGTGCTGAGTATTAAAGCCAGGGCCTTATATATGCTAGGCAAGTGCCCTATCACTGAGAGAGAAGCACTAATTTCTAGCCATAAATGCCTTTTAAAATATTCATGTAGTATGGGTAGATTACAAAAATCATATTAGATTCTTTTTCCATACTTGTCTTTAGCTGTATTTCTGGATGGGAAATTTCCAACCAAAGCAATCTTTTGGTTCCCAATGTGGCTTCACTCATCTTCTGCACTTTCTTTTTATTTGTTCACACTGTTTTTTAACTAAACTTAAAAATAGTTATATAGTTTATAGTTACATAGTTTATTTCAAAAATTTGTTTACAAGTATTGGATTATTTTGTATTACTCCCATTTCTCTTTGAGAAATTAAAAAAGAAAATGTGGATTAACTGTTCAAAAATTGAAGAGGCTACAAATATAATACTTGACAATGGCAAGGATTATAAAGGATGACAAATCCCACAATTTTCTTCTGGTCTTTCTATGTGAAATGTCCAAGGGAAACAGGGGTATCGTTTTTACATCTGCAATATTATAAACCAGTAATTTTAATTGTTTTTCTAGCTTTCTCATTTTTTTTAGACTATTTAGCAGGTGTTTTTTAAAGCAAAGGTTTTAACAAGGTACTTCCACATTAGGGAAATGTATTATGTTCCCAAATGGTAAGCAATGTGTTTTTATTTATTAAAAGTTATTGATTTTCTCTGGGCCCAGTGGTACAAGCCTATAATCCTAGTGGTGCTGGAAGGTGAGGTAGGAGGATCACAAGTTCAAAGCCAGCCTCAGAAACTTAGCAAGACCCTGTTTCCAAATAAAAAATGGCAAGGTCTGGGGATGTTTCTCAGTGGTTAAGCATCTCTGAATTCAGTCCTTATATATTTAAAAAATTTAAAAAAAATACAAAATACAAAAATATGCAATATATAAACACACACACATTTTCTTATTTTTAAACTGGGTGGTAACTTTTCCTACATTTCAGGGTGATTTTTTTTTTAACTCAGCCATAAGGATTTTGTTTTCATCTTTTAAGCCATAATTATCCAACCAAACATTTTTAATACAAAAATATAAAATAGTTATAATCCCTTGATTGATTTTTTTTCTTTTTAATCTGTGTAGTATATTTATGGTTTTTGTCAGTTTTTTCAGTTTGCTGTGACCAAAAACTTTTCTGATAAGAAAAGTTAGAGAAGGAAAAGTTTATTTAGGGTTCACAGTTTCAGAGGTCTCAATCCATGGACAGTTTGCTCCATTCCTTGAGGCCTGAGATCAACTGATTTTATCAGTTGATAGCATCTACCTTAATATGTTACTAGTTGGACACTATTTTCTAGTTTCTAGGCCGAACATTATTTCAGAAGAGTGGGGCGAAGGAATGTGGCTCAGGATATCACACCAGGAAGCAGACAGTGAGCTTTCCTCACCACAGACAAAATATAAACCCCAAAGGCATGCCCCAATCCACCCAGCTCCTCCAGCCACACTACCTGCTTACAATTACCAAATTAATCCCTATGGGGAGATTAATGCACTGATTAAGACTCTCATAATGCAATCATTTCACCTCAAAACTTCCTTTAACTGTTTCACACAAAAATTTTTTGGGGAAACCTAATAGCTAAATTGTAACAGGAACTGGTTTATAATTTTTTTTCTTCTCATAATATTAAATATATATTTAAAATGATGAAATAGTGACATATCATCAAATATTTTTGTCCAATTTCCTGGATCATTTATATGACTTATGTGATAAAGATTAATTGGATATTTGGTGGAATAGATATCAAGCCCTGGTGATTTAATATCAATATATGCTTTCCTATAATTTTATCAGACTTTCCTATACATATATGCTAAAGAAAAATAGTTGATTTTTCCCTATTTTTGTTGTTCTGATCATTAAAAAATAATAGAATAATGGTAGTGCAGTCTTTAACTCTTCCTATAGTGTGTTGACTATTATTTTTATTTTGATAGGTAATGGATTGTGTGATTCTAGATGATGGTGGGTTTCTTTTGATGGCAAATCATGATGAATATACTAACCAGGTATGTAACTCAAGAAGGAGCTACGGGGTTTCTAATGCGTATTTCGGTGATCAACATTACAGAACCACTACAAACAGTGTATATAAATTTATGCATTATTTTATTCATGCCACATAAAATTTCAAGTGATTAATATAAACTATAATACACACATGCTAAATGTAGCTTTTCTTTGTTTTCTAATCACTTTTACTTTTTGTCACCAATAGTTATCATTAAAGACTTTAACATGATATGAACTTATTTTCAACTTTTAGAAATTTAAAAAGTTATTGCATATTAAATATTTATCAGTTGATAGCATCTACCTTAATATGTTACTAGTTGGACACTATTTTCTAGTTTCAAATTTACAAATTGGCATCATATAGGCTATTAGGCTCACCCAAGAAATTCTCATTTTGAATCTATGTTTCTGGTGTGCAAGCATTCTCTCTCTCTCTCTCTCTCTCTCTCTCTCTCCATATCAAAAGATATCTCTACATTGGACTATTTATTGAATAACAGTTTGTTTCTTTGTTAGAGCTCAATAGCTAATGATTGCCCCTTTAGGTGAGTCTCCCCCCAGCTCACCACAGCTCTTTTATATGATACTTATCATTTCCTGGAAGGCATTTTCTTTGTGTTTCATTGTATTTATTTAACCTATACAACAAGATGCTTTGATACATGATTATTACTACAGTCAATTCAATTAACAATCTGACATAATTATCCTTTTTGGGAGGTGGGAAGAGAACCTAAAATCACATTTCCAGTATGTAACACAATATTATTAACCACAGTCTTCGCTTGCACATTAAATCTCTAGGCCTTTTTAGCCTGTATAACTGCAACTTTGAGCCATCTGACCCACATTTCCTGGTTTCCCATGACCAATGCCATTCTACTAACCTAGGATGCATTTTACTGTGACATTGATGTGTAATAATCTGTGCCCATTTGACCCACAAATAAAATAAACTGAGTAATGAGAATACTTAATCTCATTTTGGTTCTTTTCACATTGCCACATGCAGGTTTCTCATTTGCTCTTGTTTGTAAGCCCTTGTTTTGGTTCACAATTTCTTAGTTGTATTTCTTTTCACTGTATTGATTCAGCTGTTCATGTTTGGCTTAAATTTGAAACTTTGTTATTTTTTTTATCAGATTGGACGATTTTTTGGAGAGATTGATCCAAGTTTGATGAGACACCTGGTTAATATATCAGTTTATGCTTTTAACAAATCTTACGATTATCAGTCAGTATGTGAGCCCGGTGCTGCACCAAAGCAGGGAGCAGGACATCGCTCCGCATATGTGGTCAGTATCATCCATGGGTGAATTAATTTAATGGGACATTGAAGCATAGATCAATATAATGACATTTTTATTATTTTTATAGCCATCAATAGCAGACATATTACAAATTGGCTGGTGGGCCACTGCTGCTGCCTGGTAAGTCAGATTTTTAGTTTTATTAGTAAAGAAAAAAAGTTGTTTTAAAATAGTAAAGTATTTGATGAAATTATGAATTTTGTGACAGGTAAATTATAGTAATTTTTCATTTCCCTTAATACATACTGAAAATATTTATAAAGAGTTGTTCTTAAATGATCATAAGAAATTCACAATTAATTTCTTTACATGAAAACAATGTTATGATCAGTGAAACCTCACCTTCTCTAGAGACTTTTTCTCTGTGATTCTGAATTCAGCATAATTTTCCTTGTTTTGTACTTACTATGAAAGTTATTATTTATTTTCTTTAACGTCCAAATTAGATATCTACATTGATCCAATGTGTAACATGATGACACTTTTCTACTCTTTTACTATTAATACAGAAATTGACACAGTTTTAGAGTCATCATGTTGCTGAAATGAATTCAGTTTTCTTTCCTCTGATTCATTTCTCCTACCTCCCACTCCCACCTCTGTCCTGTTACCTATGGAAAAGAATTGTTTAAACTGTCTATGGAGACACTGTGGGAAATCTGGAAAGTCACATTTCTTGTTCTTTTTTTCTAACCAGTCAGTCTTGTGTCTAGGACTTATTATTTCCTCCTCCCTTTTTTTCTTTTTTTAACATTTTTTCTTTTTTTTAAATTTTTATATTGTCACCCTACTATATTGTCTTTTCCTTATTCCATGTAGATGAATCTATACAATTCATTTGATATTGAGCTTTTTCCCGTTAAAATTAAATGATCATATCATTCTATTAAAGTGGTAAAGGATATTTTAGATAAAAACCCTCCTTTTTCCCCCAAGAATGATATTTCTGGGTATGTTGATAATATTTGTATAGTAAGAATGTTTTCTATATCTTGTAGTGATCCAAAATACTTTATAATATTTTTTGGCTCAAGTCTACCCTGCCTTTTCTAAATGATTCTGTTCCTGATGATTCTGTACAAGATTTGGATCAATTGTCTTTTATAATGAAGCTGAAATGTGCCATATGTTCTTTGTATAATTTATATACAAATTATTTCATGAATGTCACATTACATATCACAAATATATTCTTTATCACAAATAGCTCACAAGCCCAATTCTGTGGAATAAACAAGGTCCTTTTTGTTTCAACATTGTTTTAAAAGACAAACAGAAAATCCTGTACATAAAAACCTGAAATACTGACATTTTCCTTGTTAGAGTTACCAGTCCTGTATGATAGTACTGCATATTCAGCTCCTTTCACACATTTATGTCTAAAACTTGGCTTCAGACACCTGTGTCTTCATGACTTTATGATTTTTAAAAGGTTCAGTATTTTATATAATCTAAGAAATACTTATATGGGAATGCTCCAATCCTTTTTCAATGAACAAACTCTAAAATTTTCTCAAATCAATAAGAAGGAAATATGTACTTACGTGCATGTATATTTGCAAAAATACTCATATTTTATTATAAAATTTATAGTAATTATTCATTTTAAAAATCCAGGTCTATTCTCCAGCAGTTTCTCTTGAGTTTGACTTTCCCACGGCTCCTGGAGGCAGGTATGTAAATGGTCAGATATTAACAACTATCAAAATTTCTTTTTAGATGTGCTGAGTTCAGTAAGTTCAAAGAGAAAATGTTTGTGAGAAAAAGATCATCCATTTGACATTTTGGCAGATTGAAGTTTTCATCAACAATTCCCTAGTTCACATTGGCCTCTATTTGGCAATATATTTATTTTATGGATACTTATTGGGTACCTTTTACAGGCTGTGAGGATAAAACAGGTCAATTGAAGCTTGTAGCCTTCCATATTAATTTTGCCCTGTGAGAAATGACTCTGGGGACTGACTAGTGTCCCCTCATGGTGGTTATCTTTTTTATTTTTTTAAATATTTTTATTAGAGTTTTATTGTTTTACATAGTAGTTGGGTTCATCCTGACAAATATGATCTTTGTTTTGATTCCCACAGTTGAGATGGAGGATGACGACTTTACCACCTCCCTATCAAAGCAGAGCTGCATAACAGAACAAACCCAGTATTTCTTTGATAATGACAGTAAATCATTCAGTGGTGTATTGGACTGTGGAAACTGTTCCAGGTATTTTGTTCCTTGATTTCACTAAGAAATTGCATTCACTTTCATAATCATTACAGAAAAGAATGGACTGTCATTGGAGTTAAACATGTCATTGTTTTAAACTGAAATGTCAGTTGTTGTAAGCTTCAAAATTTATAAATTTTAAAATTCTAAATATTACAAATTGTAATTACATGATTAGGATAATTGGTTTTATTGTAGGCAGAACAGAAAATTTTAAATTTCATTTTAAAAAATCCATATTTAAAAATCTTCTAACATAGAGAAAGTTAAAGAATTATATTAACTCTAATATAACTTAAATTATATCAGTAGTTATAAGCCAAACATGTTTTTTTTTTTTTTTCACATAAGGTAACTAAACAGGTTTTCAAAATCACAGTCTGGGGTTTTTCTTTGCTTTGTTTTTACCTCTGGTTATCTCTGACATGAAGAATTGAATATTATCTTTGACTTGAAACTGAAGGAAATAGAGATAAAATATCATTTCATAAGGTCATGGTTAATGTTAGTATTTATAAAATATCTTTAAAATATTTTGGAAGAGATGGAAAATGTAAATGGTTATAATGGGAAAGAGAAGAAGGCGAGAGGAAGACTTTAGAAGGTTTGGGGGGAAAGTGATAATCCATGCCACAGGATTCCTGAGAAGCCAGCAGCAAGTCACAGCTTTCATAGCACAGAGTTGGGACACTTTACTTTTAGAGACAGAATGCAAGTTACTACAGAAGAAATGTTAACAGAGGGTAGAGGAAATATGAGGAGGCAAGGTAATCTGAGATCATGTAAGGGCTGAAATAGTTGCTAGGGGATTTGGAAAGGCAGTCTGTAACAGTTGAAGTGGTTTTTTTTTTTCTTTTAAAGAAGGGGTTATCATGAATTTTAATAAACATGGTTAGTGTGTTTTATGACTTAATTTTGAAAACAACTATGTCCAAGAAGGAGGTAGAAGGTATGAATAGGAGAGGAATAGGGAGAAGTCAAACATGAAATCAAAAAAGCAGATCAACTTGTTTGGAGCACTGTAAGCCATTAACTGCAAGGAAATGGACTTGTAGCAAATGACAGGAAGACATCGGAGTTTAGGGTCCTTGGACCTGTCATTAACTGAGGTCCAATAATAATGCATACCTCACAAACTAAGTTAATCCATAAGGTGTATATAAATATATATATTTATTCAAGACATTTGAGTCATGGTTTTATTTGATTTGCTTTATGTTTGTTTTCCAAATTCAATGGAAAAAAGTAGTGAAATTCCATTTCTAGGGAAAAATATGTAATCATAATAAAATTTCTTTAGTGGTATTTTGCATTTTTACTTTGGTTGCACAGGAGAACAGATGCACCTTAGGGTATGGCTAAAATAGGATGGAATTTAAAGCTCTTGATTCTGTCTCTGTACTGTCCAATGCAGGAGTTACCAGCCACAAGTGGCTATTTAAATTTCCATTAAAGTGAAATAAAATTAATTGAAGTAGTGTGCCTCAGTCACACATGTCACATTTCAAGTGCTTCATCGTTTCTTGACTAAAGTATTCCCTATTGAACAGAGTAGAAAACATTTCCATCTTCACAGAAAGTTTGATGAGCATTATTAATCTAGTCTTTATTCTGCCCTTAGCTTGGGTAAGATGTTGAGTCACTTTTGTGCTCCTCATTTTCTTACCTATAAAATATGGCATTTTTGGCATACTTTTAAAGGTCTTTAAACATAACAAATTAAACTTTTTTTCCCCTAAGTGTCAACAAAAATTAGTACAGATTTTGCAATGAAGTCTAACACTTTAAAATTGCCATAGTTATTTACCATTCATTTGCGAGAGGTAACATGTCCATGTTCATAAATAAGAGTGTGGTCATCTCTCTTTTCTAAAATCATACTCATTCTGTTGTACTAATTTGTTAATAGTGATATTTTGTGTTTCAAAGTCATATTTGCTTCTCGTTTTAATATGTGACAATTTGGGGAAACTTCCATTCTTTCCCCAAAAGCTACTTTTCATTTTATGTGTTACTTTAACATTTTTTTTTCAGAATCTTTCATGTAGAAAAGCTTATGAACACCAACTTAATATTCATAATGGTGGAGAGCAAAGGCACATGTCCTTGTGACACACGGCTGCTTATACAAGCTGAGCAGACTTGTATCCTTTGATGTCAGATGTTCAGAACACAAAACAATCTTAAAGATTTTATCCTTGTCATGTTGTTTATGATCATTAGAGTACTATGATCCCCCACAAGGGAAGAATGGTTCCCTTACCCAAAATGTGGTTTAAATGTACAAACTGATTACGCTGTTCACACACCATTAAAATCCCCAAGTTATCAGGTTGATTGTGTTGGATGAGAGTGATGGCATAGATATCTCTTGCTTGCTTGTGGGAATAAACACATTTCATTGTACTTTTTTAATTGTGTGGGAAAAAAAATGTCCTTAACAAGTCTCTTTAGCGGATGGTCCAGACCCCTGTGATATGGTTAAACGACCCAGATACCGGAAAGGGCCTGAGGTCTGCTTCGATGACAATGTTCTGGTAAGACAATGCTTTCACTGGATTAACACATTATAACTTAATGGTCATTGTCCACAAGAACTTAAGGAGATAAGCTGCAATTTAAACTCAAGCACATGTCCTATTCATAGTTTTTCTCATTAGCATGATGTATTTGCTAGTTCAGATTTTTCATTTCAGTAGTTTCCATGGTTAGCATAAACTTAATGGTTGCTTCTTCTTTCTGTCTTTCCCACAGAAATTGTACTTTCAAACACAACTCCAGTCAATTTACTAATAATTAAAGGTCACAAATTTGATGATTTTAAAGACTTTCTGATAAATAAGAATTTATAGTGACTGTTACTTATGTTGTATGTATTGCCTACCTTCATTTATATTTAAACCCTGAAAATACAAAAGTTATTTTGATTATGATATTTATGTTAGTCTGTGTTTAGTCTTCACTCAGTCTGTTTTAGAACTTATATAGCTAATGTCCTGCTTTGTTTTACATAGTTTCTGATTCTATCAGATATTAGATTTGTATTATTTCTATAGATTGTATTAGTGTTTTTCTCTATTATTTGAAATATAACAGGTCAGTTATACAGGATTAGTTTGATGAAATACTGCAAAGCATCTTTAATATATGTTATTTAAAGATGATCATCACTATTTTTGCTATAATTCAAGTGTCTTTCTCTAATAAATACTATTCTTACTATGAATAATAAACTTTAAAAATATACTTTAAAAACTATTATTATTTAAAAATTATTATTATTATTATCATAATTAAACCTAGGGGTACTTTAACATTGAGATGCATCCCCAGACCTTTTTATTTTGAGACAGGATCTTGCTCGAATGCTGAGGTTGGCCTCAAACTTATGCTCCTTCTGCCTCAGGCTCCCAAGTCATTGGGATTACAGACATATGCCACTGCATCCAGCTAAAATTATTTTAATTATTAGAAATCTCAAAAGCCAGATAAAAATCTCTATCCACTTATTTTAATGATTTTAAGTATAATATTTTACAATTCTGATTTTCTATTATGTCTGTGTAGTGAGTGGCTTGCTCACACCAATGAGCATGTACATATGGGGCATGAATTCTAATAGCATGTAAGAACAGCCCTTGATGAATGTTTATTTTTCTAATATTTATTTATTTAGAATAGGTTTAGCTAATCAGGTGTATACATAGCCACATTTGTTCCACAGAGGATAAGGCATTTTCACAGACACATTCTAGCTAACTAGGTAATATTAATTAAAAATGGGGCAAAGAAAATAAACTTAGTGGTAGAGAATAGGATTAAAAATGCAAGAGCTGTTAACCAGTAAATCCCAGATATCTCTGTGATGAGTTCTGACTATTCATCTTGATAGTGAAAATGATTCAGAATTATAACTGAGTCGTTTTTCAGTTTTACCCTGTAAGAAATAAAATCCAGACATGAAGACTTCTGTTACTCTGTCTACTACACCTTCAGGATTCTTGCTTACATACAATCTTTCTTCAAAGAAAGACTTTTGTGAGTCCAAGGACAGTGTCACTCCTTAGGGAAACTTCACTCATCAATTTTTTGTGACCAACCTTCAACAGTGCAAAGACAGTTTACTCAGATGAACTTTAAAAATGGTATACAAAACCTATGCCCTAAAACAATTTCCTTCTAAGGGCTGTATATTTTGACCAACAAATTAAAAATATTTGACTCAGACAAAAATTTCCATCCATTCAAGTTCCCATAAATTGTGTATTGGGTTGTGTGTGAAAGTACAGCTCTTGCTCAGTAGCTTGGTGTGCTAATAATATGTTTCTTTAGCAGTGGAGTATTTTGGTAATGCTTATTTGCAATGGTCACTGTGAATCTGCTCTGGATGGAGGCTCACATTAACTGCTAATTGCCAGCAAATTGCATGAAATCTCATCTTGTATGTCTTCTTTTCTGTGTTTTCTTTCCTTTCCCTGTACTTGCTACTTTGCCCGTTATTAATAGGATCAACTTATATGCACAACGAGTCGTGCCTGTACCATGATGTCAGCTCCTATCTTCATTTTACTGCAAGTTTTCATGTGGTGTGGATGGTCAGTCACTTTCTCTAATTTTTATTTCTTTTTGTTTTTCACTTGAAATTTTAGAAAATAACCCATATTCCTAAATCCTCAATAATGTCCTGAAGCAAGGTTATTAAAATTCTAATATTAATATTATTTTGTAAATTGCGGATTTCTAATGGTACCTAAGTTTCTCATCCTAAACAGAACATAACAAAGTCCTATATTTATTTTAAAATCATTTTCTCATAACATATTTGTGTAAAGATTGTCACTGCTTACAAAAATGTATATAGCCTTTATGATAGCACACTTTTACTAAAGAGAAATACCTAACAGCAGCTAATTTATATTTTTAAATGCTAGCATGAAATTAATTCTGATTTTCTTATCAACTGGTCTAGTTTAATTAACTTAGAGTTTTATTCCCCAAATATTGATATTCTTATTGAAATAAGTGTTTCTAATTTTTAAGTTTATTTAATTAAATATTTCTTCTATTAAACCAAAATTATCATTTTTACTAATATTTAGAGTACTTTCTGAATTATGTAAGCAATGCAGATAAGTAGGTGTTTGGGAGATGCATTTGTGTTCAGAGTTCTATTTATTGTTACATGGTTTCATTTCTGATGCTCTGGAATAATCATGATTGTGCTACTAGAGCAACTTCTGTTGTAGTCTTTCTTCATCAGTCTCTAGGTATTCATTGATTAGGAAACCACTAGATGGAGATATGGCCATTACTAAGAATGCAATGAGCTCCTGGGGGTTGGGAGACTACAGGAATAGAAGGATTCTCAGAAAATAGCCTGATTTGTTTTGGGATAACAAGATAATCCTTATCATGAAAAAAATATTCCAAGTCAAAGGTATTTTAGCCAGTTTTATTAATTAAGGTAAAAGGCCCAAATTAAATAATCCCTCTTCATAACACTATCTTGATATATAGGCAGCTATTTGAAATATAACTTTATCAAATCCCTTAAGAAGTACTCAGTTACATAAGATGGACAAAAACATCAATAATTGTTATCAGCCACCTGCCTGCATAAGAAATAAGTAAATGATGGAAGAAGGAATTCTATGCAATTTGCTCAAACTGGGGAGAAACAGATTGTCTCTGTCAGGGTCACACAGAAAGTTACAATTTATAGAAATGAAAGTGAGTTGATATACACATATAGATTTAGTCTGTGCTACACTGGCTCAGGAGAGGCTTGATCTCCACCCTCAGTTTTCTTGACCTCCCTAGGAAGGGAGAACTAGGCCCAGCCCCTCAGCCTCCACTCCCAGTATGATGAAGTTGTTTTCAATTTGAGAGGGGTCCCCAACTTCATAGGGAGCCTGCTTCAAAATCATGCAGTACACTCGCATGCACTTGTCCAAATATATGTATTTGTTAATTTTATGTGTTCTAATATAGCAGTAATACTAAGGAGGTAATACCCAAGATATTCATAGAATTCGTCACTGGATAGTGAGAGCATTAATTTTACTCACCTTTTCTATAGTGAGAGCAATCAAGAACTATGTAATGTTTTGAACAACCAACAATAAAAAATAAATAAATAATTTTAAAAAAGCAAGTAAAAAAAAATTTAAGTGAGAGGTTTAATTTTAGATGTTTTGGCTTGAGTGAACATCATTATTATAAAGTGAATGTCAGAGATGACAGGGAAATAAGTCTTCTCATTCATCTATTCCTCATTAGTTGGAAGACCTGGGCTTAATGGAACCTCCTGATGATCTGTGTGCTCATCATGCCCTGTGTCGCAATCAAGAGCATGAAGAGAGAACCTACAGAATGGGAGAAAATCTTTGCCACCTGCACCTCAGATAGAGCAATAATCTCCAGGATGTATAAAGAACTCAAAAAACTTAACATCAAATAAGTAAACAAATAAATAAACAATCCAATCAATAAATGGGCAAAGGAACTGAAGGTTCCATTAAGCCCAGGTCTTCCAACTAATGAGGAGTAGATGAATGAGAAGTGCAGTAGACTAGGCAATGGGGAATGGAGGGAAGGAAGAGGGGGTGGGAATAGGAAAGACAGCGGAATAAATCTGACATAATTTTCCTATACATATATGAAAGCAACACAGTCAATCCTACCCTCATATACATCCATAACAATGGGATTATATCTTATAAGACTAAGATATATTCCATGCTTGTATAATTATATCAAAATGGACTCTGCTGTCATGTATAGCTAAAGAACTGATAAATTAAAAAAATAAAAATAAAGCGATCATCCCCTTTAAAAAAAAACATAGTGAGAGCAAAATACATTGACTTTTTTCTATGTAAATTTCATAACCAGAACAACAACAAAAAAAGGTTAAGAAAATTGAGTTTCCTTTGCTTAGCAAACAAAGTATTTGAGCTATGGTTGGTTTCCTGAGATACCTGCCTTCCAAGACAGAATACTTATTCTACAGTTATATAGTCAAAGGTATATAACAGCACAAGGTAAACACATGCCAGTTGGGTATAGATAGACTCTCTTTGAAACATTTAAAGGAAACGTTCTTGTATCCTGTATAGTCCAAAAAGGATATGGATTGTGGGTATACAATTATGAACTTCCACACTGTGAGGAGTTCCTTAAAACACAAGTGTTCAAATGAGATCTTTTGGCAGTGGTTTCATGAAGATTTCAGTGGTGAACAACAATAGCAAGTAAATAAAGATCAAGATGTTAATTAAAGCAGAAAATAAGCCAGTAATTTCTCCATTCAGAAACTTTTATTTTATGTAAACCTACTTTATAAAAGGATGCTATGGATACATAAATATTGAACATGCATAAAAATATCTATATGTTTATTAATCTTTCTACATTTAAAAAGTTTAACACATTCTACCTATCACATGGATTTATGTAGTTGGGTGATAAAATACTATATATAAAGACAGCTTATGTGTTATGGGCATTATTGCTATCAAAGGATTTAATGTATAGTATCTATCTACCTTAAAATTTTTAGCATATATTTTCTTTGGAGCTTAGGGTGACTTTAGTACAGACTTACCTGAACTCAATAATTAGTCTTTAATTCAGAAAAGAGCAAAACATCCTTAGCCAAATGTCTGAAACACTTTATTTAAATAGATTAAAATTCTATTATTTGTGCAATTAGTTGTTCCAGGTTCTAGTTGTGGAAAGAAAGACATGGAAAGATTTAGTTTTAACAACAGCACATTGAAGAGATTTTTAGAGTTATGTTTCTTTCAACAAGTTATGGAGAAGGAAAAGAAACAAAGAATTCTCAGGTGACATATTATTAAGTCTTTTGAGAGAAGTCCCATATAAGAAGTCTAGTAAAAAATAGTCTTATATTAAACACACACACACACTGTGTATGTGAGTGTACTGCATCTTTTTCTATTTTAATGTTAAACTGAAATAAGGTACCAAGCTATTATTTTCTACTGAAATGATTTTTAAAATGATACTGATTAATCTGGTCAGGTGTCAGTGGAATTTTAGCCTCTACAAGACAGAAAACACTGTTTCCTCCCACAATGTGTTCATTTGTGATTTAAAATGGTTAAAAAAATGTATCTCATATTTTACTTCCACGTCATAATTTCTGTTCTTATTGCATATGATTGCAGCATGTAAAACATGATCAGGAAATTAAGGGGTCAGATTTTTTCAGTGTGAATCGACATACAGCCTACAGGGACTCCAAATAATTTATCTAACCTACCACCTCTGAAATTGGTAGACATCTCATCATCACATGGAGGAAATGGTGGGGGCGGGGATATATATATATATATATATATATATATATATATATATATATACACACACGCAATGAAGTAGGAGCCAGAGAGCAAAATACATTTCTAGAATATAAAGATATGTTTTATATTCATAAGAATTTCCTCAACCAAGTACATCTTTTACATGAAAATGAGTTGTATGTATACAACAGTTTTTAATACTTTGCCAGAACTGCAGAATACTCCTGGCTGAGTGACAGTTAGGTCTTCTTTTGAGTATTACTTTATGTCTGTGGCCTTATTAACCAGTCAGCATGTGTACTGCTTCATTGAGTGCCTACTATTATTTATCAAATGCTGCACACCTACTGTGTATCATGCCACTCCTGTATGTGTAAGATACTTAGGGGAGATATATATCTCCACTCATGTACACATACAATTTTTTTTTTAAATCTAAAATTTTAATGTAACAAGTACCCTGTTTTTTATGTGGTTACCCTAACCTATAGGGAACAGTACCCGAACGAAAAACAGAGCAGTGCAAAGGCACTGAGATAGTACATGCTTAGCCCATTGCAGAGTATGATAGTGTTTTAGGAACAGAGTTGGAGCTGAGGAAAGGAGAAGAATGTGGGAAGATGAAGGGGCAGCCAGGCTCCAGACCACATAAGACATTGTAGGCCTTGGTAAGGAATTTGGATTTTGTTTTGAAAGTGATGAGAAATTTTAAACAAGATATGAAAGGATTTGATTTATGGTTTTAAGAAGAATGCTTTTTGGAGAAGGGATTGTAAAAAGGCAGAGTAGAGGCAAGGAGACAAGTATGGCAACTTCTGCAGAAGCAGGGTAGTGACTGGAACTTGAGATGGTCAGAGGAAAGACAGTGGGTATGTATTTTGAAACAAGAACTTAGTCGTTATGCTGATGGATACATTTGAGAAAAAGAGGAATCTCAGATGACTAGGAATCTTTAGCCTGATCTGTTTTGGGCAGCTTTTTCACTGCTGTGACTAAAAGAAATGACCAGAACAATTTTAGGCAAGGAAAATTTTATCTAGCGGCTCACGGTTTGAGAAGTCTCGGTCCATAGATATCCAGCTTCATTCCTCAGGGCTCAAGATGAGCATAAGCCAAAGACATGTGAGAAAACATGTCCAGAAAGGAATATTATGTACAGTCCTCATGCTGTCTAGCTTTCAAGAGCATTGGACAAAGAATTATTTTATGCTTCTACTTAGATTGGGAGATACTTTTGAAAGTTAAAGTTTTCCTTTATAAATTCTTTTCTCTCAGCCTTCTTTTTAACAAAAGAATAAAGAGAAAAGAGTTGTACTCTTCAGACACAATTCAAGAAAGAAATTCTATTTATTTACCAAGTGGCAGGCACTTTGTTTATTCTGGTAAACCAAAACAACAACAAAGTTCTTAATTTTTGAAAGCTTAGAATCTTTGTAAAAATCTTAAGGGAAGAACAAAAGAAAATGTTTTGGTTCATTCTTTTATATAACCTATCATTTTGAACCTTCAATTAGTGAATTCTTAAAAGATGTTTATGACAATGATTACATATGAGTTTTTTTTTTTTCAAAGAAGTTCACTACATTTAAAGGATGTGGTAAATGTGCAGATTCTAGAACCCAGGAATAAAAGGTAAAGAAGTTCATTTTCCTAGGGAACCAAGTAAGCCACCACTATACTGTGGAGAATCTAAATAGATATAGTCATTGCTAATATTTCATGGTTCTCCAAACAAAACAACCTCTCTTTCTAGCTTATCTTTTCCGGATGTATATTTTCAGAATGTCGTTTCATTATTTGTGGTTCAAATACATTATTTTTCATTTTACTTTAATGCTTTATGAAGGTCCATATATAACATAGCTACCATATGTTCCCCTTAGAAATTGGATAAGAGAAATATGGTAAATGGATTTTTTTTTAAATTTACTTACTTTTCCTTATAGTGCTCAGTTACTAGGATCATTATTCTTGGGAATGATAGAACATTATCAAATTTTATTTTTATTTCTTGCCTTCTTAAATATATAGGACTTTTGGTACCATGACACAATATTTTTTATTTAAAAATGGGTATGTTTCTGAAAACAGCATTATTATTTTCTTTTACAATCATCAGAATGTACAACTAAAAATTTAAAGCATTTGTCAAATGGTTCTAGGGAAATTGCTTTACTCAACATTGCTGAACAATAAAATCTAGGTGAATGTTATTTATATGGATCCCATTTAGAGCAATTTTACAAGGTGAGTTCAAAGTGAACTACATATGGGTTACTCTGAAAGATGCCCTCCTAAATGTTTTTCAAGATTTTATTTTTTCCTTTCTTTCCAACAGGAGGACTATACCGACTGTGGAGGAGTTTCTGGATTAAATCCCTCCCTGTGGTCTATATTTGGACTCCAGTTCCTACTACTTTGGCTGGTATCTGGCAGCAGACACTACCTATTGTGACCTAAAACCAAAATCGTCATAAGTCCAGTCCAGACCCTGCCAACACATGAGCCCTCAATTACATTAAAATAGGGTCAACTGTCCAATCAGCAGAACATTAGCTGGGCCTGTACCATGCGTAACTCTAAGGCACAGATTCATAAGACACCCACTGGCTGCATGTCAGGGTGTCAGACTCTTAAATTTGTGTGAATGCTGCATCATCTATGTATAACATCAAAGCAAAATTCTATATGTGCTCTATTGGACAATTTGGGAGTCTGTTGTTGCTTTGTTGGTGATTACATGTAAAAGGGCTCCCCATGCAATTGTTTATGAATCATAAGAAATGTCTTGATTTTGACCTGGAATTTCAACTTGCTGCAATTTTACCAAGAAAGTCACTAGGGGTGGCGGGGAGTTATGTTTGCCTTCACTTATTCTTCTGTTCAGAATTCCTGCTTTGAGTAGTTAGTGAAGGAGGGCAGGAAAGAAAGTAGTAACATTGATCTAAACTGTTGAAATATAAAAAAATGACTAATTTTCTGCCAAAAATTAGCCATGAATAAAATGCCTTATGAAGAATGACTTCTCTGCCAAAAATAAAACACAATTTAAGACCAATTAAATTTTGGTGAGGTAATGAATTGATGGTTTGACAATGTTAACTGAGAAACTATTAAACTAAAGGTGCTTGTGGGTGAAATTTGAACACGTGACTTATTTCCTCATAAATGTAAGCCCTTAAATGCTTTGACGTAATGTCCTTTTGTTCACAGTACAGTTATGTAGTGCTAGCCAGATATTTAAAAATGCTCTAAGAAAAGCTTGTTGGGGGGAGGGGAATGTTTTTCTTGTGACAAATGAACTTGGGTCACCAAGGGTATTTTGCATGATGCTGCTGCTATTTTAACTTTTTGGTTTTTCTCTTACTGTAGAGTGTAGTCCATTGAAAAGTTAACTGAGTGACATTATTGTCATGTAAGAATCTGAACCTTGCGGTGTAAATGCACTTAAGTCATCTTTAAAAACGTTGTTAAACTACTCTGAATATACTGTGCAATGTAAATGCTGAATGACTGGGTCAGGTAAACGGTGAAATGAGAAATAATGGATTTTATACAGATTCGTGCTTTTGCCTGAAAACCTATGTACAGATATTTTAAGTACATAAATCAGATTTAACACATTTATTTTTTGAAAAGTACATATATGTTCTCAATGAAGATTCATCCTAGGTTTCCTCTTTGTTCATTTCAATAGTAGCATGTACAATCCGAAAATTGCTGCTGCTGCTGATTCTGTCCCTCCATTTTAAATGATATGATCATTTAACTAATAGTTCCATGGAATTTGGTGAGGGTTTTACAAATAATCTGAACAAACAGGAAACCTCGAATCTATATGTATGCACATGAACACTTGATTGTGAATAAAATTTGTTTTTATACAGCCTCATTGGTGAAAATGGTTAGTGTAGTAAATTGGATATTTCATTGTAGATTAATATTGTAGCAAAATATTATTTATGCTTTTAAATTATTTTCAGGAATAAACAGTATTTGAAGAAAGGATAAAAACAATGAATGTGTAATTCTAGGAATAGTGAATAATTTTATTGAAGGCTGAAAGTATAAAGATATTTTTTATGGTAAAATGCATTTGTTTTCCAAACATGCCAAATATTGGTGTGTGTATATGCTGGAAATTTTCTTATATATCATTTTAATGTCACAGTTATTTACATTATCCAGCATGCTTTAATATGTTCCACATATCAAAGATATAACCAATTCTTTAGCAATGTTTAAAAGATATATTTGTTTTTAGCTTTGCATACATTTGTAATTCCCTTCTACCACTACTATATCTTAAGTACCACTTGTGTATATTTCCTTATTTAAGTTTTTTTTTTAATTTAAAATAGGGGGAGGGGGAATGGAATCACTTTGCCAACTATTGTTCTAAGAATTGACATCAGTTACCATTTCTAACACATTGTCGTGATTTTGTAGTCCATTCATAACTAGTATTGACATTTTAGAAAACACCAAAGTGATTAATAATGATATGTTTAAATCATGTTGTTTGTTAATGAAATATTTAAAATATTTAAAACTTATTAACTTTTGCTAGACCATTTTAAATCATGAAAGTGTTGAAAAGGGAATATCAAAATATAATGTTAGATTGTGTATATAAATAACGCACATTAAAACAATTTAATTGCTTCCAGCATACAACAAAACTACCTTAAAATTATTTTCAAAGTCTGTTAAATATATCTTCATAGCTAATGTCATTTATATAGTATGTTTTCATCAACTGCATTATTTTGTATTAATCATAATTAAACTTGGCATCTAGTGGCAGGGCCCTATTTGATTATAAAACTATGACGTGACAACCACACACATGGTAACAAATTGGGTAAGAACATGTTCTCTGATTAAAGATTGTCTTAATGACATAGTAGTCTTCATGCTTTTAGCATGTTTTTGTTGTTGTTGTTTGTTGTTCAAAGACAGTAACACTCATCCCATTAAATTATTATGTTAAATTTTTTATTTTTCTGTGAATTATGTCAATAAGAACTTCAATTTTAGTCTGGTATTAGTATTGACTTCCAAAGACTGAAAAGTACAAGAGATAAATAAAAGGCTTTTTAAAGTTTTTTTTTTTTTTTTAACTTATTTAATTTTTACTATACTCACGTAGTTTAATGCAGTTTGTCACTAAAAGTCAGAAAAAGTCTTGCATTGGTGTTTCATAACAAGAATTTTGCATTTCTGGTTTCTTTATCTTTTCTTCATTTGAACAACCAGCATTACTGCCAAACACCAATCGTGGTCCATATTTGTAACAGGTTTTTAACATGACATAGTTAGCAAGTTTGATTGAAAAGATATTTAGGTCCTGGGCCTATAAGATTTTAGTATGATCTTTTTTCATGTTTCTAATGTGTGAGGCATTCTTGCTTAACTTCGAGAAAAATAAAACAAAACAGTGTTGCTGCCATTTGTAAGTTTTCCTATTTATAATATTCTTTTATTAACCTTCAAACTGGCCTTATGGGGTTCAAATAGGCAGTATCCCTTTTAAGTGACCTTTGCAACCCAAGTGTTACTTGCTTATTTGATGCTCTCTTGTATTTTACATCTCATTTAAATCTTTGTCTTGTCTTCACCAAAGCTAAAATTCTGTGTCTTGATTTAAAACTCGTAAGCTATTCTATTGATCATATTAGTTGATATTAAAATCTCTAAAGGTATAGCATCTGACCTAGGGAGACAAAATGGATTTTGTGACTTTTTCACTTGCCCAAATTCCAACTGTTTTATTATTATCTGGAAATTCTATTGTTTTCCATAGTTAACATTTCCAATGTTAATATTGTTAATATCCAGTGTACATTTCTGTAAAGAGCAAATCCAAAGTATCAAGTATTAAAAAATTCCAGAACTTTGAAGAATTACACTGTCCTTACCAATGGTTACATCTGTCGTTTAAGTTCACATAAAAGAAATTATCTCAAATTCCACCGAGACTAATGGGATACTGTCTTGTATAGATGCCAATCGAGTTTACAGTATGACCTGGCAAAATTATCTTTCTTGTTGTGTTGTATGATTGTTGGATCATGCTTTTAGGGAAACTTTTAATGAAATGCCCAGTGTGCATCCATGCAAAAGACCAAGTGGCTTTTGTGAACAATAGCTCTTTTCTCCCCTTTATTATGTTCTCTTGACACTTTTGTGGAAATTAACTAGCCTGATAAAAACATTTTGTAAAAATTTGTATAATACTGTTATAAAAATATTTATAATCCCAGAAAATGTTGTGTTAAATCTTGTGCAAAAACAGTATATTCAGAATAAAAGTTTATCATTTAAAGTCACCACACAGCTTGGATTATTTGCTTTAAAAAAAATAAGATTCAGTTGAAAAAGACAGAGACCTCTCTCATAAATGTATTTTAGGGACGCAGGTGTTCTGGTGATAAGGATTCTGGATTTTGGAAATAAAATTTAGGATTATGAAAGTGTTTTTTACAGTTAAAAGCATACTTGTAACATTTTTACATAATTCTAAACTTTCTCACCTGTGCCTTCTCCAGGAAGGCGACTTAGGAACTTAGTAAATCAGATTTTGGGAACTATTGTGAAAAACATTTCCTAGGCAAAAATAATATTTCATTTATCAAAGACTTTGGGGAAAATAGTTTGAAAGAAATTAGAATAGCTGAAATATGCATAACTTTTATACACTTAACATCTAAATATTTCTAGCAACTTTATAGTAAAAACAGCTGAGGCAATGGAGTGTAACATAAGAAGTTTTATAAAGAAGCCGAGTAAGGTTCCTTTTACATTTACAACAGATCCTTCTTCCTCATGCTCACCTAATAAAGTCATGGGTCTGACATCGTGTGTAATCCAGTATAACGTAAGCCTACCTGGCTTTTTCTTTCTGGGGAATCCCACAAAACAGAACAAAATAACTAGGTCCTAGTGTGTGTGTTTGTGTGTGTGTGTGTGTGTTTGTGTATGTGTGTTTCCTAGGGCCTCATATATGCTGGGGCAAGCCCTATTCCCACAGCCATTGGCCCCATATCTTATAAAGGCATTTTAAAAGAAAAAAAAATACTTAAAAATATAAAGTAAATATTATTGGTTTTCTGAACATCTCGCTTCATTCTGTACCAATGTATCTCCTCAACTGTGTAACTCCCCAGAGATCCTCATTTCTTCTTGCTCCCATCCCCACCTATTCCTGTGGTCCCTAGCTTCATCAGTTTGTCTTATCAAGCATACTCAATCTCATTTCTTTGCAGCCTTTTTGTCCTTTCTACCTGCAAATGCATTCAGAATACCTCTGTTTAAAATAAGCACACAAATACTCTATTAATCCTATCTTCCTACATTTATAAATCTAGAATTAAAGCAATCATATGTATATCCATGCATACTTATGTGGTCGTCTTTTCTCTTTGCATTACACTCAATAAGGCCTTAGAATGTTGGATCTGTAAGGAACATTATCTGTGACCTCTAATTTACGTTACTACTGAAATATTTTAATTATTGGTAATAATTAACAAAATCAAGGTCTTGAGTGTTTGACTCCTGAACTCTAAACCCCTCCTTTATGACAGTGGTTCCAGACACAAGCTCAACAGTATGTTGAACTAAAGACAATGTATAGGTTGGAGAAAAATTGGAGTAAGATTGCCATTTTTTTGCTTGAAAGGACTTTTCTTTTCCAGATATTCTCTTTTTCCAATTGTCCAAGAAAACCTGACTTTTCTTTGTGAAAGTATGGCATAATTGATTCTGACTACTAAAAACAACAAAATAAAGTGTTAGTATAGGTGTGTGCCTGTAATCCCAGTGACT